GCTCATTTGAGTAGATCAAAAAAACTAATTATGACAAAAAAAGATTAAAAAGATTAGTTAAGTTAGTTATTTAAAATAAATAGTGTTATTTTTACTAAAATACCTTTATCAATTAAGTGTCATTTGATAGGACATTTAATATATGTAACTATTATAAAGATTATCTTAAAAAAATAAATAAATATCAGAGATAAAATAGATTGAAGTCTTATATTTAGAATTAAATTAAAAATCAAACTAATTCTTATATTAATAACAGGACAGGAGGTAATATAATTTTTATGTCAACACGTTATGGTCTGTTTGGTACATTGGAACTTGGGTCTCTGAATTGGAGGTGGAAGCAGAACCCATCAAATGGGCTGTTTGTTACATGGGAACCTACTTTCATGTGGACTTCGCTTCTATAAAACGTGGAGGAAGTAGATTCCATCAGCCCCCAAGGAATTGAGTTCCAGTTCCTGAGAATTGGATGTGTATCCATTTTACCCCTCAATCCACACCATAGCAAGGATGTCGATGGCGACAATAGTGCACTGTGGCGACGACTGCACCACCAAAAGTGAAGATGAAGCTTCTTCAACCTGCGTCGCCCCTCAATCTTCAATCGAGATCATTGTCGCCTACATCCATTGCCCCTCCCTCCTCAATCTCGTTCATTAATAGTGCCATAGTGGAGGATGCGGGCAGGTCATTGGTCTTTGATTTCAAGTCCATGCTTCCATGGATCTAAAACATCTCCATCTTCTTCGAGGGTTAAAGCTTGATGGTGAGAAGGGTTTGGTTTTTGATCTCTTTATTAATGGCTGTTGTTTGTTAAGAAAAAAATGTCATGGTTGTTTCTGCTATGGTCAGCGGTTGTTTTGTGGTGGTCAGTGGCTATCACCATGTCGGCGAGTGACTGGGATGGCTTGGGACGGTAGGCAAGGGTTTTTTAAAGTCAAGGACATATAAGTCTTTTCACATTATAAATAGATATATTAATTAAAAATTATACCATAACTCCATGAGCATTACCAAACAAACTTTTAAGTCCAATTTCACTTCCATCAAAAGCGTCCAATTTCACGTCCATCAAAAGCTCTACCATCGCACTATACAATGCATTAAAGTAAAATTTTGGACGCACTTCAAAGAGGCACCTCTAAAATTTCTCCAAAAATATCCGTAACAACTATAAGGCCTAGCGCATCTCCCCTCTACTGTGACCCATACATCAAACCAGGAAGCCTAGCACTTCATAGTTCTAACGGTTTAATCGGTTTCGTAACGTAATCGTCCGGTGAACCGATTTAATGGCGGCTGAACTCCGGCTTAAAACTCAACAGAACCCTTAGCAAAACCATTCACCGGCTATACTGGCCAGCCATCCGGTTCCGTGACAGCCACAGTAATGATTCTGCTCGTGATGGGAAAACTAGGAATGCATGGATGTTTCATTGATGATAAAATCAACCATACATAGCTTACGCGGCCACCAAAAATATAGTTCTACGAACATATGACAATAAATTTATAAAAAATAAAAAGACCAAGTTTCAGAGGCTTTATTGGGACAAGGAACGCCTACTTATACAAACAGAAAACAGCCAAAGGGCCTATGGAACAATCCCCACTAACAAATGTGAAATTTAAAGCCCGGATTGATACCACCAAATCACTAGTCTCGTGATAACCAAAATTCACAACGTCGAACCACAAATAGGAAGATTGAAATAAATAGGCGGGGAAAGAATATTTGGCAGCATAACTCCTTTTCTAATCTGCTCTGGACTGACCAGCACGAGAAGACAAGATAATACCAACAATGAGACCATAGAGAGCAAGAGCTTCAGCAAAGATAAGGATGAGAATCATTCCAACGAACAATTTAGGCTGTTGGGCATTTGCTCTGCAAAAGATAATGAACAACTCACAGGGGAAAATTTACATTGGAAAGCATATCAATGCATTAGGATTCAGTAATTTGCCATAGAGAAAGGCTTCCCAACAGGGATCATGCAATATTTTAAGGTTTAAAGGGCATGGCTTGTATGGGCAATTGCGTTACCAAGAAAGAGTTACGGATGTAAGCAAGTACTCATGGCAGAGTATGCTAATTTGATCAATTCAAAGCATATAATGTAAAATGGTATGCATATCGTTTTCCATGCACAAGTCCGCAAAAAAGTATTGCAATTCTCAAAACCTTAGAACCAGTGCGAATCAAGGAAAAGAAATTATGATCTACAAAAAGCTCATATGAAAAGTAATCAATCAAAATATACTCGAGGGTTGTACCTGACACCAGCATCACCAACAATACCAATTGCCATGCCAGCAGAGAGACCAGCCAGCCCACAGGCAAGACCAGAGGAGAGGTGTGCATAACCATCGAACAGGTAATAAGATTTTGCCTTAGGATTGATCCCCGTACTTATTATAACAGCAATAATAAGGCCATAAATACCCAAAACTCCAGCCATAACAACAGGAACAATGGACTTCATAACTAGCTCAGGTCTCATGACACCCATCGAGGCCACACCTACACCACTCTTTGCTGTGCCATAGGCAGCTCCCATGCCTATAGTAAGTGAGATAAGCCATACAACAATAAGTTATAAGAGAACACATAAGCATACGAATTATTAAAGTTCATCAATTGAAGTCACTTTTTAAGAAAAGGCCTCTAACCCCTTCTTTTCGCCAAAGAGAAGTCACTTTTCAAATCAATTGAAACAATTCTATAGACATATTCTGTCTGCTGTTTCTTGAGTTCGAAACAACATGAGATCCAAACAAAACATGAATTGTAATAGGGTTCCCATTGGGAGCTGATCACAGCATCTCTGTAATGAGATCTGAACCAAAATACTTGTAATAAGCTGTCGAACTGAAGACGCAAACTCTGATTCGAGTTACAGTGCATATTAAATAAAATATACGATTCGGCATGTCCAACAACAAGTAACCCAAAACTAATCAAAGCACAACTGAATTGATCAACATCAACGTCAAATTAAAACCCTAGATCAACGTCGATTTTTTTCCAAAATATTCAAAAGGATCGCGCTCGCTTCTTTTCCCACATCAACAAAGTCTCAACCAAAATAACAGTTAAGAGCTAAATTAAGTAGAAAAATTCAACTTGTTTTAGGATCAAACAAGTTTGAACATCGAGCATCAGAAAAATCCTTAACAAGACAATTAAACAGATACTAAATAGATCGCGCAAGCAGAAATTCAGATCGATCTCAGACGAAATCGACAGACAGATTAAAAAAAAAAACGATGTACGGTATTGGGGGTTAACTCACAGGAGAAAACGAGAGCAGCTGCGGCTCCGAGGAAGCCGAAAAACGGTGCTGTCTCATCGCCGCTAAACGGAGCCATAATTTGACGGTGGATCTACAAGGCGGTCGAATAGATCTGATAGCTTCAATTTCTTCCACCGAGAGATCTTCCAGCGCCGATCTCTCTCTGTACGACTACGGACCTATGGTGCCGCAGGAGCAGGATACGTGGATATTAATAATTGCTCGTTCCATTATTTAATGAAACATGGGTATTAAATACAAAAAATCTCTTTAAATTATTAAATTATTTTGAAGTTTGAAGTAAAAAAATTTATTTATTTAATTACTAAATTATTTTTTTTTAAGTTTGTATTAATAACTCAAAGAACAGTTATTGACAACTTAAAATATAAAAATTGACAACTATCATGACAAGTATTGATAAAATTATACATTTTGTTATAATGAGATCTTTTACGACTTCAAAATAATTTGATGATTTTAAGAGATGCCTATGTATTTAATTATTTTGAGTGGGATTTTATTGCAGTTTTTTGCTTATTTAATTATCTGCTGAATCCGGACATAACTTTTCGGGTTAAATTGACCCGATAATAATTGCCCAATCCAGCCCAATAATCGGTTTGTTTGCTTTATATTAAATACTTTTTTAAAAAAATATTAACCATTTATAATACAGAATAAATAGATATCAAATCAAATCGACGAAATAAGATTTTTTTTCCAACATCAAAATAAGATATACATAAATAATGGCATGAGAAATATGTCAAGTTAAATAAAAATGAATAACTGAACTATAAATCTTATCTTAATCGGATAAGAAAATGAGATAAAGCTAGTCAAATTTAAATTCTAAGATATTGCTGCTTTTGGTACAAGGGAAGGAAAGGGAGGAGAGCAAAATTTAAATGAACTCAATTTATTAACAAATTGAAAAAGTGAGGTTATAAAATTTTGATGTAAAAAATATATAAAATAAAAGAGTAAGAAAAATTAATTAAAAATTTTTAACTCCACTTTTTTTATTTTTTAAATTAAACTCATTAAAATTTTCTCTCTCATTCCCTCCATTTTCCTCATAGGAAACTTGATGATTATGTATCAATAAGTGATAATCCTTAGTAATTTTGCACGGATTTTATATCCCAAAACAATGTCACTTATCTATTTGTGGGATTTGAGGATCTTGAGATCGGTCAACATTTAGTATGCTTTACATCATTAAGAACGAGACAATTAGTTTATATCATAATTTTTTTTGCCATCAGTTTATATGTCATTTTTTTTTTTACATTTTAAATTATTCATCTCATTTATCATTCAAAATAGAAGTTTTTTTTGACTTGTTGCTTTAGTATTCTAATTTCTAAATTAAAATTCTAAGCGGACTCACAATAGTAACAAACTAACGATAATAATGTTGACATTAGTTTAGAATAATAAAGATAATTTAAGAATCGTCCACCACCGATGTCAGCGTCAGGATGGCCGAGTGGTCTAAGGCGCCAGACTCAAGTTCTGGTCCTCGTGAGAGGGCGTGGGTTCAAATCCCACTTCTGACAATTTATTTTGCTCAAATTACTTTTAGGTCCCCAGATCCCAAAACGACATCTCCTCACGTTGTTGATCAGTCCGTTCCTTGCGTCGCCCGCCCGCCAGAGCACAACTATAAAACCCTACTACATGAAGCATTCCATTTCCATTTGTTCTGGTTTCAGTCTCTGTAACTCAAAGCTTTCAGGCCCATATACTCCCGACTTGCTAATGTCTGAGTCACCTCGTCCCGATATGGACGAGTCTGTGACTCTGACGAAGTCCGTACCACGTTTAGAGGGGTCGGGAGAGGAGCAACCCTCGTCCAACTCGAATGGGTTAACTCAGCAAACACCGGAGCAACTGGTGGCCAGAGCCATAGCTCCCGTGAAGGCGGAGTTCCTTCGTCCTCCTCCTCTTAGAGGTTCCTCCACGATCCAGAACGAAGATGTTTCTGAAGATGGGGATAAGGCCTCTGTTCAATCCGCCGGATTAGTGAAAGAGAAGAAGTCAAAGCGCCAACTCAAGCGTGAACGTCGTCAGGTACCTCATTCTTTGTATTTCACTCTCTTCAGCTGACGTCTTTTTGGGGGGGGGGGATGTAACTGTTGCATCTTCATAAATCTGCTTTGGCATTTGTAAAGGACATAATGTTGATAACTTCCAACTCTGCTTTAGCCGAGAGTTGCGTGAGCTAGTTGTGAATTGGTTATGTCATTTAGAGCACATTGAGGCTGTGTAATGAAGATTAGAATGGTTAATTCTGTTTGTTTGTTGAGAGGAAAATCACAACCCCTTGTAATCTTACAATTGGTGGGAACCGGTACTCAATATCGCGTAATACGATTAGTACTCTGATCGATTGGGCTTTCTAGAGGTATATTTGCCTGCTTCAACAAGTTTGCGGCTTTATCTGCAACGGTTATAATGTTCCCTGTGGACTTGACCAACTCCCCTTCCCTTCCCGAATGCAATGTTCTTATGTTAGAGTGGATGAAACTCTTAACCTGTACAGGAACAGAAGTCTGCTAAAAACATTTGTCCGGAAATTGCAAAGACAGGAGATATTAGTTCATGTCCTTACAACGACAAATGCCGTTTCAGCCATGACATAGAAGCCTTCAAGGCCCAGGTACTAAATTGCTCTGCTCTCTGGGTGATTTGTGCATGTATTGATTTGTTTTATTAAACGTTATGTCAAGTCTTGTAACAAACTTCTTCAATTGCAGAAACCAACTGACTTAGAGGGAGAATGCCCTTTTTTAAAAGCTGAAGGTTTTTGTCCCTATGGGTTAGCATGTAGGTTTTCCAGCACACATACAGAAAGTATGCCTTCTGGCAATCTCAGTGATCGGAGAAAAACTTCCGAAAGAAATGGACTGAGCAAAGATGTTCAAAAGCTTTTATGGAAAAATAAGATGCGCTTCCCCAAGGCAGATGCCAGTCTCAAAGCTCTTGGACTCTGGGTATGTTGTTTATCTTTGCTTTTGTCTTTCTTCGTCTGTTTATTTTCGTAGTTATTTATTTATATATTTGTTATTTTTTGGTGTAGAGAAGTTTGATCCTTTGTGGATAAGAAAGTCAGGAAGGGTACATGTGAAATCTTTATAGTTTTTAGCTATATTTATCCCTTATTGAAGAACTAAATTGTTCAGATTAAATGTAGTGGGATAGTGAAACTGGAAACTAGATTTACATTAGTAAGAGTGTGATGTTTGAACTAAGGGAGTCAAGGGATATATGAAGGTTTTCTCAGTTGTTCCTGTTCTTTTTGTCAGAAATTTATATCAAGGTTTGCTGAGTTGAAAAAATGCCATTTTGTGTTGCTTCGATTCAAATTTATAATCATGTAATACCGACAATTTTAAATTGTTCTCTATCTTCAACTCTGGCATTTTTATTCATCGAAGCTGTCCTTTGAGATAAAATTGATCTGGATGTATCATACCCATACGTTTTATCTTAAATAGATAAAAACTGTTGTAGGAATCATCTAAGTTAAAAAGGAACGACTTAGAAGATAAGGAAGGTGGCAACATTGATTCAAACAATGGCCACAATGCTGGTAATAATGGCTCTTGTGAAGTTACCAATGATTTGGGTTCTAATTTAGAAAGCTCTGCTGAGGATACAAAAGTTGATGGTATTGATGGAAATTTAGATTCTGACTTACCTTGCCCTCAGAAGAGAAGAAAAACTGAAGACAATTCTGGCCTTGATGTGGCAGAAAATGAAGGTTATATTATTTTCTGATTTATTTATTTTTTAAATAATAGATATGATGGCCTGGTGTTTTCTTATCTTGCAAGCCTCTTACTGTTTTCAATAGGTGTGTGCGCTTCTGACCAAAACATTGAAAAAAGCTGCGTGCAAGCTGAACTTGCCACAGTAACTAATGTCATGCCCCCCGAAACGGATCAAAGCATGAAGTTACACCCACGAGAAAGGAAGCTTATTGATTTTAGAGATAAGTTGTATCTTGCGCCTTTGACCACTGTTGGGAATCTCCCATTCAGGAGGGTTTGCAAAGTATTAGGAGCTGATGTAACATGTGGAGAAATGGCGATGTGCACAAATCTCTTGCAGGTGCATATAAGGTTTTTTCATTGGTTGATATGGTTGCTTTGATTATTCTTCAGTATGATGTAAGTTTATACCATGGTGTGCCTTGGTTTATGTCCAGTTACTTTGTCCTGAATTTGATTTATTAAAGTTGATTTATATGCACATAAGTTCCATCTTATTTTGCTCATGCAGCGCTTTCGATTTACCTTCCAATTTTATGATTGCTATAGGGTCAAGCATCAGAATGGGCATTGCTGAGACGTCATTTATCAGAAGATTTATTTGGCGTGCAAATATGTGGGGCATATCCAGACACTATTGCACGAACTGTAGAGCTGATAGAAAATGAATGTACACTAGATTTCATTGATATAAATATGGGTTGCCCAATTGATATTGTTGTGAATAAGGGTGCTGGATCAGCTCTTCTTACAAAACCAATGCGGATGAAAAGCATTGTAGAGGTAGCTTCGGGCACAGTGGAGAAACCAATAACTATCAAGGTACTTGTTATTCTAGTGCTTTACAGATGAAGACATGATCGGAGACAAAATTCAGTCAGCATCTGTAGTTATTTTCCTCTTTGGTTCTGTGGTTCTGAAATTTTGACATCTGGATCAAGTCTTGTAACCTCTGCCAGTATGCAGAAAAATGTCACTTCATCCTTTTAATATGACACATTTTAATTTTAAAATCTCCTCATTAAGCTTGTCCTTATTTTCTCTTTGTTGCACTAGGTACGGACAGCTTATTTTGAAGGGAAAAATCGTGTTGATTCTATTATTGCCGACATGGGTTCTTGGGGAGCTAATGCAGTAACAATACATGGTAGATCACGTCAGCAACGATACAGCAAGCTTGCTGACTGGGACTATATCTACCAATGTGCCAGGAAGGCACCTACTACTTTGCAAGTGGTAGGGAATGGGGATATTTTTTCATATGTTGATTGGAACAACCACAAGGCTGAATGCTCTGAGCTTGCTACATGCATGATTGCTCGTGGAGCACTGATCAAGGTTAGTTTGTCTCAGTATTGTCGATCAATGCCAGTTATGGGTTGTCTATCAGGAACATTATGACCTACTTGGACAAAATTCCAAGTCTGAAGGGTGTTGACTAACACCTCCATTTTGGCAGCCTTGGATATTTACCGAAATCAAGGAACAAAGGCACTGGGACATTAGTTCTGGGGAGCGATTCAATATTTTGAAAGATTTTGTACGTTTTGGCCTTGAACACTGGGGTTCTGATACAAAAGGTACATTTCATTAATGGAGTAAGCATAGCTGTATTTGATTTATTTATATTTGTAATTGCGGCTACTTTGTGATGTTGATGCACTATATAAATTGTATGTCATGTTAGATAATTGAGTTTGCTCGCAGGAATCTAACATTTATGTATTATATGTCTCGGGAAGACTTGTTATTTAATTTATCGTCCAAGCCTGTTTCTATGCTATTATGAACTTATTCTTTGTTTTATGTTACAGGAGTGGAGACAACCAGACGGTTTTTATTGGAATGGCTTAGCTACACATGTAGATACATACCTGTTGGCCTTTTAGATGTTATTCCACAAAGGCTAAACTGGCGTCCGCCATCTTACTACGGACGTGATGACCTTGAGACTCTAATGGCTTCGGACTCTGCAGCTGACTGGGTACGTATGCTCCTGCCATTTATTCTGAGTCATCAGTTTCCATTTGTTTCTGGCCAAATGCCCATCTTGGGACTTTCATTTTTCACCATCTGGTGCATTTATTTAATATATTCCCAGAATTTAGATCATACCTTTCGCCCAAGATGCCATAATTGTCTGACTTACACTTGCCTTTTGATGCCCAGATACGAATATCAGAGATGTTACTTGGCAAGGTTCCAGATGGCTTTTCATTTACGCCAAAGCATAAATCAAATGCTTATGATAGTGCTCAGAATGGCTGATCTTGTGCCGCTTATCTTCTTTGATGACCTTGGAAGAGATTCTTGCATGCGCCGCACGGTATGAACGAAATGTTCCTGGTAAAGTGTGCACGCGTGGGCCCCGCGTGAAGTTTTTTCTATTTTTTATTGAATCTGAGTCGTTGCTTTTATATGTACTAGTGTGTGTGTGCGCGCGCGCGCAATAATTTCTGACTTCTTAGAGACTGTTGTTTTCCCTTGTCCACTGCTAGCTCATGAGGTGATATTGGTGGGTGCTTCTTATTCATTGACTTTGACTTTCCCACCGTCTACATTAGCTTATCAGTTTTTTGGGTAGAAAGGGGGAAAAAAAACGTTGAATGGTCTTTGATATTGAAATGGAGACAATAATTTATTGAGGATGATGCCGACATGTATACTTGGGGTCAACTTTGATCTTTTTTATGGTCAAGGCGCTTATTGATGGCACTTTGTTCATTTTTCTTGATTTCTTTGAGTTCTTTTAGAAGGTGCAGTTATTGAAACTTGGAGGCGTGTTGGTTGAAATTTCCATTCCTTTTACAAGTGTACGACCTTTTAGTTACTCCGTAAGGACGGGGTGAAATGTTTATGTAATGTTACGTGTTATATTTAGTAGCACTTGTTTTATTCTTCAAAGAATGTTAAAATTCAGAACTATTCCATTTTACTTTATATCTTAAATGGGCCCTAAAATATAACTCGACTTGCAGTTGTGGAAAGCCTCATGTCTCCGTGAGCTCTAACGTTCATTGCTTGGAAGATATCATTCTTTGCCTGAAAACTTTTTGCTCTAAAAGTGGAAGCGTTTTGACACGGAGCTCAATAATGGTTCCATGGTTAGGCATGAGATATTTCTTACGCATAATGTAGGTTACACATGCACGTGAGCGCGCCAGGATGTGTTTTAAAATATGTAAACAAATTCTGAACTATGAAAAACTAAATTGATAATTAATTAATTATAACGACTGCTACGATCAAGTTCAAACTGTGGCTGTTTATCCTGAAGTTCCAACTCAGCCATCATCTAGCTAAGTTCTCAAAACTGGCCCCGGTAAGATTTTAATTCCCAAGAGAAGAGAAAATTATGGCCAGCCTTTGTGCGAATATCGATATATATTGATGGAGTGTAAGCAAGGTTTGGTTGGAATATCATTTGTTATTAATATTTTTTTAAAAATTAATCTTTTTTATTAATATTTAGAAAAAAATTAATCTTTTACTCTTTTTAATTTTTACTTATTTATAATTAAGTCTTTGTAATTTTAATTCAGTTGTAACTCAGTTTTTGAACTTGATCCTTATAGTTTTAATTATTTTATAATTTAGTCCCTACTTTTATTAGACATATAATTTCATTTTTCTAAATCACAAAAACAAAAACTATAGGGACCGAGATTTAATGAGTCAATCGAGTCAAAACTATAGCAATTGTTGTACCGAGTCAAAGTATAGAGATTAAGCTACAAATAAATTAAAGCTACAAGGATCAAGACTAATTTTCCCCTAAAATTTAATAGAGTTTGGTTAATAATGAATCATAAAAGAATGTAGAATTATATTTTGCTCTTCTTAAGGAAGACAGTAAAAAGAATTTACGGAGGGCTTGAAAACCCTTGGGCTGATATAAACATCATAGAACTGATAAAAGCATCCTATATTAAAACAAGGACCCAGTAAACATCTCATGATAAGAAATAATACCACTGTTCTAAAAGACCCAAAAAAAAAAAAAACAGATATCAGATTCAAAAACTGAAGATCCACATTTCATCTTCAGAATCAAAATGAATTAGATGAAGCACACCGCCACTACTACGACTATAGTTAGACTGTTTGTATTACCTCAAGGACCTCCTTGATCAGAGTCTTAAAACACTGGCAATTCTCAGAAACTTCCCACTTTGATCTCTCTCTGATTCGGGTTTGCTTGAACCCAACCTCCATCAATGGATTCCAAGCTCCCATTCAATCCATCGTCCACAAAATCACCAACCCTCTTCACTTTAAGCTCTCTTGGCTCAACAGGGTACTTTCCAGAAAAGCAAGCATAACAGAAATTAGGAGAATCATTCCCCAGAAGCTTCTTCAAGCTATCAAGTGGAAGAAAAGCAAGTGAATCTGACCCAATGAACTCTCTGATTTCCTCCACACTCATCCTATTAGATATCAATTCCTCTGAACTTGGGGTGTCCACTCCGTAATAGCATGAAGCAATAATCGGTGGGCTTGCAATCCTCATGTGAACTTCCTTAGCGCCTGCTTCTTTAATCAACCTCACAATTTTAGAAGATGTGGTTCCTCTTACAATGGAATCATCGACAACCACAACCCTCTTGCCTTCAAGCACAGCTCTAACAGGTGAGAGTTTCAGCTTCACACCAAAGTCTCTGATCTTCTGTGATGGCTCAATGAAAGTTCTTCCCACATAGTGAGATCTAATCAGACCTTGTTGAAAGGGAACCCCAGCTTTTGCAGCATACCCTAGTGCAGCAACCACACCAGAATCTGGAACTGCAATCACAACATCACAATCCACTGGGGTTTCTGTGGCAAGAATTTCACCAAATTTTCTCCGAGATTCATACACTGATCTTCCAAAAACCAGAGAGTTGGGAAGAGAAAAGTAAATATGCTCAAAAATGCATTGTTTTGGTTGTCGATGAGGCATTAAGCACAGAGATTGAAGCCCATTTTTGTCCACCACCAATACTTCACCTGGGAAAACCTCCCTTTCATATGTTGCTTCGATCAAATCAAGAGCACAAGTTTCAGAGGCAAAAACAATAGCACCATTACTTCTTCTTCCCATAACCAATGGTCGAAACCCAAATGGATCCCTCGCTGCAACAAGCTTATCCTCTGTAACAAAAACAATAGAATAAGCCCCTTCAAGCTTCTCGCAGGCATCAACAATCCTCGATATAAAGGGTCTGTGCTTTGAAATAGCAATAAGATGGAGCACAACCTCAGTATCAGAACTGGTGTTAAAAATCGACCCACTATCTTCAAGCTTCGCTCTCAACGTTCGATAATTCACCAAATTTCCATTATGAGCAACCCCAACAGACCCAAATCGATACCCGGCAACAAAGGGCTGAACATTCTTGAGCATCGACTGACCTGCAGTGGAGTATCGAACATGCCCTATAGCCAAACTTCCCGGCAATTGATCGAGCTTGGATTCGTTAAACACATCGGAAACAAGCCCAACACCAGTTATCGACTGAAGCACGTTCTTGTTCACAGCGACAATTCCAGCACCTTCTTGTCCACGGTGTTGCAGAGCGTGCAGGGCTAAATAGCAGAGACGAGAAGCTTCTGGGTCGCCGTATATACCCACGACGCCACACTCCTCGCGAGGCTTTTCGTCATCATCAGCATCTTCAAATTGAACTTCTGGGTATTGCTTATTTACAGAGACAGTATCAGAAAGTGGGTTTTTGGAAGAAAGCACGAAAGAGGATTTGTGAGGAGCATTCGGGTTGAGAAAGAAAGAGGCGTTCGCGAGGGTTTGAGCAGAGAAAGAAGTGTGGGCGTGAGACTTGTTTAGAGGGAAAGCAGAGGTTTTTGAAAGTGACGAAGAGAAGGTGGAGAGATTGGAAGCGGCCATGGAAGCTGGGAATGACAAGCTTTGGCTGCAACAGCAAAGCAGAAGAGATGACGAGACACAGGAAGAAGATGACCACCGAAGCAATATATATACACACATACAATTCGATTTAGGTTTTGGTGAAGTTTCCAAATTTATTTTGAATTTATAATTAGGAAACAAAAAGGGAAAATTGCAAATAAAGACCCCTCAATATATAAAATAGCAATCAGAGACCCTGAATTTGAGAAATTGCTCACAAGGACCCGGTCCCAATTTGCAATTATGAAATCATGGCCAAATTACCAAAATACCCTCTGTTTTTCTCTCTTTCTTCCTCTCCAGATCATCTTCTTCCCGACCTTGCCTCCTCATTTTCCTCTCTCTCTTCGTTCTCTCTTTCCTCTCCAAGTCTCCTTCCCTCTCCTCACTCTTTTCCCAAAGTATATGGAACTCACAATGTCTTTCGGTGGTCCTCTCCTCATTGTCATCCCCCATCACTTTGTTCTTATCTTGCTTAGCTGCTCTTTTGTCGACAATGAAGCCTCTTCCATCATTCTCTCTGTTGCTGTGGAAGGAGAGGAGAGTCGGGAGTTTGAGGGAGAGTGACAGTCATTTGCAATGCTTGTAATGTTTGCTTGCAATGTGTGCGGTGATTGCTTGGTGCTGAGACAACGCCCAATAAATCTGGATTTTTATTCTTCATTTCTATTTTGATTTTCAGCTTGTGTTCGTAATTAAAAATAACGAGTTTGATAAGTTGTTGAAAATAACAAGTTGACAAGTTTTGATACCCACTTCACGACAAGTTCAGTAATGCGAATAACAAGTTTAGCAAGGCGAATAACAACTTCTGATAAGCAATTCATAGAAATTCGAGTTTCTCTGTTAAAATGACAGCATTTTCAGATTTCTTTAGCAGATGACAAGTTCTGATACACAATTCATGACAAGTTCAGTAAGGTGAATGACAAGTTTAGTAAGGCGAATGACAACTTCTGATAAGCAATTCATAGAAATTTGAGTTTCTGTGTTAAAATGACAGGTTCCCAGTAGGTTTTCATACTTTTTCTGTTAAAATGACTGGATTTCCACATTGATTTATCAAATGACAGGTTTACAATAGAAAATGACAAGTTTTCATAAGATTTTTATGCTTTTTTTTGCTGGAATTACAATTTGCACATTTCTGACAGCAACAACTTCTGATAAATACGAAATGACAAGTTTAGAATGAAAAATGACAAGTTAAGTATAGCAAATGACAAGTTCCCACAATGTTTTCATACTTTTTCATACTTTTTTTGTTGGAATTATAATTTGCACATTTCTAATAGCATCCACTTTTGATAAACACGAAATGACAAGTTCATAATGGAAAATGACAAGTTAAGTATGGCAAGTGACAAATTCCCATAATGTTTTCATACTTTTTCTGCTGGGATTACAATTTGCACATTGCTGATAGCAATCACTTTTGATAAACAGTAAATGACAAGTCCACAATAGCGAATGACAAATTAAGTATGTAAAATGACAAGTTCCCATAACGTTTCCATACAATTGTAAATTTCTCTGTTAAAATAACAATGTGCAGATTTCTGACGGCAAACACTTATGATAAACAGTAAATTACGAGTCCATAATAACGAATGACAAGTTAAGTATGTAAAATGACAAGTTCTCATCACGTTTTCATACAAATGTAAATTTCTCTACTGAAATAACAATGTTCAGATTTCTGACACCAAACACTTCTGATTAACATCTTTCATCATCAACTTCACCTCTCATTTCCTCCTAATGTATAAAACTATAGCACCAGAACTCTCATAAGCCCCTCAAGAAGCATGCTCATATCAACACCAGTGGCAAATGCACTACGATGATCATATCCACTCACAAGTGCATCCTTAACCATGAAATCCCAAATATAAATTGCCACATCATATGAACAAGAAACCATCAAATTCTACATATAAAACGAGAACTTTATTCGTTTAGCACTGTATTTAGGGCTCGTTTGTTCCTCACATACCACACCTTGATCGATTTTTCCACCGAAATACAATCATCATACTTGATTTCCACAATTTAGAGCTTGTTTGCAATTATCAGAAGTGGATGCTGTCAGAAATGTGCAAATTGTAATTCTAGCAGAAAAGTATGAAAATGTATGAAAACATTGTGGGAACTTGTCATTTGCTATACTTAACTTGTCATTTTTCATTCTAAACTTGTCATTTCGTCTTTATTAGAAGTTGTTGCTGTTAGAAATGTGCAAATTGTAATTCCAGCAAAAAAAAAAGCATAAAAATCTTATGAAAACTTGTCATTTTCTATTGTAAACCTGTCATTTGATAAATCAATGTGAAAATCCATTCATTTTAACAGAAAAAGTATGAAAACCTACTGGGAACCTGTCATTTTAACACAGAAACTCAAATTTCTATGAATTGCTTATCAGAAGTTGTCATTCGCCTTACTAAACTTGTCATTCGCCTTACTGAACTTGTCATGAATTGTGTATCAGAACTTGTCATCTGCTAAAGAAATCTGAAAATGCTGTCATTTTAACAGAGAAACTCGAATTTCTATGAATTGCTTATCAGAAGTTGTTATTTGCCTTGCTAAACTTGTTATTCGCATTACTGAACTTGTCGTGAAGTGGGTATCAGAACTTGTCAACTTGTTATTTTCAACAACTTATCAAACTCGTTATTTTCAATTACGAACACAAGCTGAAAATCAAAATAGAAATGAAGAATAAAAATCCAGATTTATTGGGCGTTGTCTCAGCACCAAGCAATCACTGCACACATTGCAAGCAAACATTACAAGCAGTGCAAATGACTGTCACTCTCCCTCAAACTCCCGACTCTCCTCTCCTTCCACAGCAACAGAGAGAATGATGGAAGAGGTTTCATTGTCGACAAAAGAGCAGCTAAGCAAGATAAGAACAAAGTGATGGGGGATGACAATGAGGAGAGGACCACCGAAAGACATTGTGAGTTCCATATACTTTGGGAAAAGAGTGAGGAGAGGGAAGGAGACTTGGAGAGGAAAGAGAGAACGAAGAGAGAGAGGAAAATGAGGAGGCAAGGTCGGGAAGAAGATGATCTGGAGAGGAAGAAAGAGAGAAAAACAGAGGGTATTTTGGTAATTTGGCCATGATTTCATAATTGCAAATTGGGACCGGGTCCTTGTGAGCAATTTCTCAAATTTAGGGTCCCTGATTGCTATTTTATATATTGAGGGGTCTTTATTTGCAATTTTCTCAAACAAAAAGGGCGTAATTCTGGAAGAGTTGCGAAAGTGGAAAAAATTTCCAGGATCCTTCCCGCAATACGGTAAATTTTGCTCTTAATGGTGTTAGTTGACTTACCAAACCAGCCGAATATATTGGAATTACTTCCATATCTCACAGAATCTTGGAATAAAATGGAACTATTATAAGTGACAGGGGGTCGATTAAGCAGTGGTTAACTACAATATTCAATTACGGTTATAATATTTTCTTTATTTTTAAGTTATTATTTCTTGTTGAATTTTTTCAATTCTTATTTGGGAACATTTGTATACGCAATTTTCACCCACAATTTTCAGACACCACCCTGATTAATTAAAAAAAAAACTAAGCATATAATTTTTTGTAAAAGCGAAAGTTGAACATACTTTATACACAAAAATTTACCTTCAATCCTTTAATTTTATATAAGATTTTAGTATAGTTTCTTAAAAGTATATTTTTATTTCTTTAACCATCAATCATTAGAATCAAATAATGATTATTTAGGACAATCATTACTATTTTTAAAAATTAAATTTAACATATTAATATTTGAGAATATTTTATCATTATTTAAAATTTTAATTTCAATACATTTTGTTGATAATGTCAGAATTAAAAGACTAAAAGAACATTTTACAAAATTAACCTTAACCAGTTAAAATAAAATTCTTGTATGAAGTTTTAAATGACTGAATGTGCCTGATTTATAATATATTGGTAGCTACATATAATAATACAATTAAAGATGGATCAACAAAACTAGATAATTAAATAACGCATGTGAAAAGAACAGCAGGGAATAAAATGAGAGCAAGGTTACGTAGGGGTGTATATTTTTCAAATGTATAATTTCATAATTAGAAGCAATCTAATTTAAATTATTTTTTTTAAAAAAAAAAAGATCTTAAGGCAGCGGTGTGTTTGCATTGGGGATCATAGCATGGCAGGTGGACAAATCACAAGTAGGTGAACATTTTAGGAAAAATTCCCAAAAAATGACAGTTGAATTTCAAAATGATAAATCAGTATTGATTACTATACTTATAAAGAGAATGACTATACTTACAAAGCAAAAAACAACATTATTTTTATAGTAATCCCTGATTTGTCATTTTGAAATTTAACAATTATTTTTTTAGGATTTTTCCAACATTTTAAGATGGTTTGGATGCTCCTAAAATTGGTATCAGATTCATTTGGAGACGCTTCAAAAATCATGTGAATAGTCAGCGAATTTGTTACTGTGTTCTTCCCCTTCGCTGATTATGGTTTTTACTTGTTATTTACGTTGGAAAGATCGGTTTGTGTTCAGTTTCCATACTTTTGTTTGAATCATTCTCTATCTATTTGATTGATCATTTAAATATTTTAATTAAATTCAATTTCCACTCAATTCTTTTTATGACTAATGTGGCATCTATGCACTGAATTAGTTCCAAGTTAAACTTTGAATATGAAGATCTAAATCCAAATACATGCTAACCTTTCATAATTAAGTGAATCTTGATATAGTAACATCATCACATTAGTTGAATCACACTATTTGATTTTTTTTATTATCATTTCAATATTTTAATTAAATTCAATATTCACTCGACTCTTTCTATAACTAGTATGGCACTAGTGTGTGATACATGCATTGCCACCATTTAGCTCCAAATCATGCCTTGAACATTGTAATTTTGTATAAATCACATAGTCCAAATGTTCTTAATCATCAAACAATTTATTATTTTCATTGGAATTAAATAAAATGATAATAGTAATAGATTTATGAGTAGAATACTTTGACCTCTTTTGCATTTTGTCCTAATTACACAAACATCTTCTTTATTTAAAAACCATACACTTCCAACCCATTAACCACGTTAAGAATATTCTAAAAAGATATTTTTCAATTAAAATTTATATTAAAATACTTTTTATTTACTAATTTATCATTCATAATACTAAATCTCTAAATTTTAGCTAAATTTTTTTGAAGAATTTAAAATTTTTAATTTCCCTTTATTTTATTTTTATTTTTACATATAATTATTCGTTTAATATTTTTATCATATTAAATAGAAAATTAAGTAATTTAGTTAATGTAGACATAAAAAACTTAAATAGAAATTTAATTAATTTTATAAATAAATATATAATTAAATAAATAAGTTATAAATGTTTCTAACAAAATTTTTATTTAAAAATTTTAAATCATAATTTCAAATGACTTCTATGAACTTCTCAAACTTAGGTTATTTTGTATTATATAATAAAAAATGTATTTAATATATTTTATAACCATTTAAAAAGAATAAAAAGTTTCAAAATTAAAAAATCTCATTACATATTAAAAAATTTGAAAATACATGTATTATAATTATTTTTTATCACAAATGATCTTTTGAAAAATATAAATGTTTAAATAATTTTTATGTTAAGGAGAGATATGTTGGTTAAAATAAAAATTCAAAAATCAAACTTAAGGTCAGAATAGATGGGAATGAAATTTCAAATATATAAAAAAAAATTTGCGTGACATATATACATTTTAAAAATAAAAGTGAGGTTTTTTGTGATTTAGATAAAATAAAATGTTGTTGGTGTGTTTTACTCGATATTTATCATTAGGAAGGGCCCTGTATTAATGACTTATAAAATAATGCCACTTGCTATATAATTTATGGATACACATCCATTTTAAAAAATTGCCCAACGCCTCGAGCTTCACGTCTTTTGAACCTATATATAAACATATACAGAAAATTTTTAAACCATGAATTACCATTACTCATTACTCTTTTGGTTCTATTTATAAAGCACTTTCTGTATATTTGGTTCTATTTATAAAGCACTTTCTGTATATTTTACACAGACCAAGAAAAATCTTAAACTTTATTAACTCTCATTTAAAGTTTAATAACTTTCCTACTTTATCCCTATTTAATATATATTATACCTTATATAAATAAAGTTAACACAATAATAAATGAGAGGTAAAACTGTATATTCATACAAAAAAATTTTCTTAATACTTTATAAATAGAACTAAAAAATACATTTTCTCATATAAGACCAGAAGAGTATTTAATAAAGAAAATCAAAAGGGCACTAGATTCTGAAAAGCGGCGACAGTGGGTCCATGTTAACCTAGAATCTTGAAATTTCAGAGTCAGTGAATGGAATCATCAGATATCGACACAACGAGAAAGAAAAAGAGAAGAGAATCAAGACATTGAAGCAAGCTCCGGAATAAATAAACAGTCGTGGGGCGCGGAATTAAAGTGGCTCTCAAGAGTGGGATGAGAGTCACAGAATTTAGAAAGAGAAAATAATAGCAATAGTAATTATAGCGATAATAAGAATAATAATATTTCCATAAAAAAAAAGAATAATAATATCACATCCAATTAAAAAGAGCTTTTGTCTCTTTATAAAAAAGGCTCCCAAATACGCTGTGGCCACGTAAAACGGACCTTACCGGATAAGACCATTCCCCACCTTAAACACTTGCTTCGTTGTCGCGATATCCAAATTTTGAATATATAAATTTAAAATATTAAGATCATATGTTTTCTATTAAAATATCTTAACGTTTAAAGTTTTATCGATGACAAGAAGATTAAAATTTTATATTATACGGAAAAACTATACAATTCAACAATGTAAAGAAACTCATACCGTGAATTTTATATTTTATATTAATATATATTGATTATGGCTTTAAAATCAAATTATTTATCCGAAAAAAAATATAAATAATATGTTTTGACTAGATGGAACTCGTCAACGATTGAAATAATGGGCTTGTTTGCGAGTTTTAGGGTATTTGGGCCCAGACGACATAATGGACTATAAACAGTGAAATCGAAGTTGAGAGGTAGAAGTTTTCCTCCACCTGCCATGACTCATGGCTCATTTGAATTTTAGGAAGTTGGGTCTAAAGAAAGGAAACATGGCAAACAGTTTTGAATATTTGCTTGAAAAACTGTGCATATTTAATGTTTGTTATTACTACCTCCGTATAAAATCTTATTTAATTTTTATTTTAGTTCTAAATATAAGATCCTAATTCATTTTATCTCTTATATTTATCTATTTTTTTCAAGATAATCTTTCTAATAATAATAGTTCTAGCAAAAAAAACTTGATTGGTAAGGATATTTTAGGAAAGATAACATCTATTTATTACAAGTAACTAACTAAACTTATTTTTTTAATCTGCTCAAATTAATCAACTAGTTGTTATATTTAAGACTAGAAGTAATATTATTTTAAATAGGACCGACTCTAATAAAAGAATTTAAGAAAAATCATAAAAAAAGACCCTAAATAATTATAAATAAGGACCCATTATAATATTAGTATGAGTCTTAATAGCAATTAATAAGCAGGATAACAATTTTATGAACGGTCCCTATATATAATTTTTTAACTTTTAATGTCTTTTTTTAAAATTTTTTCAAGAATGCATATCAAAAACAAAACTTCTTTCACTCATTTTTGTCGCAAATGGTAAAGTCAAAGGAAAAAAAGCTAGTCTGAGGCTTCAAACCGCCAAGCCAAACAAACACTTCTCTTGTTGCATCAATTCAAACCCAGGTCCGATGAGCAATTGAGCATTGGTTGCTTATCAAAACTGACGAGTACCCAATACAAATCTAATTTAAGACCTTCACTCACTTTACCTCTTATATGTATCCTTTTTTTTAAAAAAAAAAACAGTCATTATAATAGTTTCACATGTTAAATATTTCATGATATGATAATTCTAATAATATATATGATTAGTAAAGATATTTTAATGAAAACAACACCTATTTATTATAAATCACTAATTCAAGTAATTTTTAAAAATTATTCAAATTAATTAATTGATTTTTACATTAAAAAATAAGTGATAAATTCGCCTATACTTTTTAATATGATTCCGCTACTTTCAACGAGCTCTTAGGTTTGAAGGATTTGTATTGGGTACTCATCAGTTTTGATAAGCATTGGCACCCAATGCTCATCGGATTTGAACTGTTCAAATTTAATTTTAATTTTAATCTTAATTTTTTAAAATAATAATTTTAATAGATATAGGATAAAAAATAAAGATAATCTTTTAATTATCATTCTTTAAAAATATTTTTTTTCTGTTTTAAAATAATTATTTAAAAATATTAAATCTGGATTGTCTAAATTAGATCTAGACAGCCCAGATTGCTCATCAGGTGATGAGTAACAAATAGGAACCCTCTTATATTTATGGCTCATTTGGTTGGATTATAGGAAAGAGGATTACATGTGATCTTGATACAAAAGTTTAATTCAATTGTTTGGTTAGGCTTTATAATGTAAAGAAGATTACATCTTGGTATCCTGATTCCCTTAAAAACCTGCATCCGAATTACATAGAAAGACTCTATGAATAGGGATTACAGGAGGAGAAAAATACATTATTACCCTTAAAAAAAATTAGACAATACTTGGACCCTTCTCCTTCATCAACACTGCTAATTCCCCATCCATGGCCTTGACGGCACCGCAGCCCCCATGGAACCCCATCCCAACCTCATTCTCCTACTTTCCACCCCTCATCATCATTTTTTGTTTTGAATACAAGGGACAAGTCGAAACTTAGATCTCGTTGTTATTTTCCTTATTTTCCTTCTAGGCGTAACTTCTATGCACACCCACATAATTTTAACCCCAAGAACAAATGGCCTAAAAAATCATTCAACTTAGAGATCTATTTGTCATCAAATCCATTCTTGACCAGTCACTTCCTTACTCCTCGTTTCTTCTATTTGTAAGAATTTTTTTCATTGTTACTTTTTTGTCATGATTTCTGGTCTGTGGATTTGCGATGAGAAAGAAATACAAGATGCAGGAGGGAGCTTTTTTTTTTTTTTTTTTTTACAAAGATATTTTTGACTTTTTAATTTTATCGTAATTAAGTAAATATAAAAAATATATTTCGTTACCCCATTCCTAATATTGTACCAAACAAATTTACGTAATCATTATTACATTACATTCCCTGCTAACGGGCAATTGGTTTTAGGAAAAATAGAGCAAATAGAAAACGACGTCGTATTTGTCTGGGCACTGCGGCACGACTCAGTCTCACTGGGAGATCGCCGTTCCTCTCCGATCCTCTAGGGTTTGACATCGGGGAATTGAGCAAGATTCGTTGTTCGTCGTTGCCTCCTTCGTGTGTTTCTCACAAGCTTTGTACAGCAACAAGCATCCAATGGCGCCGCCTCCCGGACCTTATTCTGGAACCAGTACCCTCGCTTTGGTACGTTGTCAGAATGTCCTTTCTTCTGTTTGCTGCTCCCCAAAAAAAAAAAAAAGTAGAAAGTGAGAGTCAAAGATGTGTAACAAATTTGATACTTTGGCAGGTCGCTCGAGCTTCTGCTTTCTCCTTTGGCCTCGTTTATGGAAGCATCAAGCTGAAGATCCTCAAGGTATTCTTTTCACATTCTTTCATTTCCTTTCTTTGTGAACTCTGTATTCCGTTTTGATCTTCACAATGCGTTTAGCTTTTACGATCAAAGTCCCATTTTTTTCCCCATATTTGCACTTACTCTCGAATTCATGTATCTTATTTTTCATAATGGAGTTAAAAATAAAAATTTGACCTGAACTGCAAATTTTCTTCGTATTTACATGCTCATGACATACATGCGTGTAATAACTAAGGGGGCTCAATGTGGATAATCTAGTACTCCAATGTGATTGCTGGCTATCTAGTTATCAGCTGCATTTAGCACTCTCTGTAGTCTGTACCTTGATGTATTGCTATTTAATAAATTAGATATCTTGAGGAAACTGCCCGATAGTTTTTTCTATATAATAATGATTCATAGTGTGGATAGTGTGGATAGATTTTTAGCCACAGAATTCAGGCTCTTGGTTTGACGAGTCGAAATTTTAACTTCCAGTTCGAGTTTGATGCCATATTCAAGCTGATCTGCACTCAGATTGAACAATAGCCCTTCGCTGCTTATTTCATGTTAAAGAGATTAATCTGAACACTTGTATCCTTTTTTTTTTTTATAGTACATGGTGCCAGACCTTCCAGTGCTTAGTATGGATGTGTACGGAGTACTGGTGTTCTTTCTACACTTGAGGCCCTAAAGTCATTTACGTTATTATTGGGTTTCTTTTATAACAACTTAATCTCTTAGAATTAAGTGTTTCTTGACTGTTCATTGTGTTAATGAACCCATGGATGATGATGATCTTGATACAATTGTTAAATGGCCCTCTGCCCTCTGTTCTCCAAGCTCCATACTGTTCACTTGTTCAGTTTTCTCCCTCGCTTTCCAAATCAGGTAGGGTTTTGCCTCTTGCTTAGATGAGGATGCCTTTACCCTTATCTCTTAGTAATTTTATGCTTGGTTGAACTTTTGTTGGCTTACCTGGGTGCTGTCATAGATATTTGACCTTTTTCGCCCAAAAAAAAAAAAGGCAAGATGTTTGATTTTCCTTTTTCCTTATAAAATTCTCGTTTCAAATTTCAGGCGAAAGCTAAGTCTCAAAGGAAAGCTGAATCGAAGTCTCATCATTGAAAACAAATGAGATCCCTGTGACTGTCCATGATGGAATAGAATATAGAAATAATTCGTGACAAGGAGTTGTCCATTCTTCTTCTTCTTCCCCAGGGTTTAGGGATCAAGCTTTGAATTATGGTACAGCATTTGAGTCGAGTGAAGTAGTGAACCATAGAAAGAAAATTCTGTGAACATGCTTGAACATGGTATAATAATCAGCCTTTGTTTATTTTGAGGCACAAGCTTATGTTGCCAAGTGCTTCCTGTCGTCCACTTGTCCTGCCTCCCATTTTTTGGTCATAAGATCATTTGATAGGATCCTTGATTAATCTTAATGGGGAGGAAATTGATCAGTTGAGTTGGATGATTTATATTCTAATTTTTTTATTAATAAACGACAATAAATAAAAATAGATTCTTCGTGCTTTAGGTTATCCTTTTATTAAAGTTCAACATCTTAAATCTTGCGTTTTCTTTTATTGAGTAGAAAATAAAAACTGTATTTGGAGAGGGAAAAAAATTGAAATATCAGTCGCTTAAGTGGAATAGTGACGATTGGGTTAATTGGCTTTCGGAATTCCTTGTGGTCCTCTCGAAAAGCATTTAATTTTGTTGTTTGAGGGGATATTGCTCATAAGGGCATGAAGCCCGAAGCTGTACCAAGATGTATTTCTTTTGTTTTTCAAAGGAACTAGTGTGTATTGTATGGATTTGAAAAATGTATGGTATTACATATAGTTTATTAATAATATGATTTATTGTTGGCAGGAAAATTAAATAATACGATTTATTGAAGTTATTAATGTTTTTAATTATATATATATGTATCATAAATTTCTGAGTTCCTTCCTTTTTAAAGTTTGACTTCTGGAAGCTGTAAAAATTTGCCCTTTAAAATTTCATACTCAGAAGCCATGTTGTTATGGAAAAAAAAACATACATATAAGAAATTAAGATGAATAAATAAGACAAAAGAGCAATAGAAAAATAGAGAAGAAGAAGACAATAGAAAATTGGAGAGAAAAGGAAGTGATTCTTACACATTTAGGTGTGTAAAAATGTGACATATTATTTTTATTTATAGACGCGCGATCTGCTCCAGACTTGGAGCGAAATCTATAACAAGATTAATCAACACAAGTGCACAGCTATACAATGTGTAGTTTTTGAAATTATGGGCGTTAAATATGATAAAAACTCAAAATTATTCACTAGAAAAGTTATGGAGTATAACATACTGAAAATAAACAGTTGGGAGAGGATGTGGAGGTTGATATTTTTAGAAATTATTAAAAAAATTTGATAATGCTTCTCACTTTTTTTCCGCCAGTGACAATTTTTCTCATATACTCTCTCCTTTCCTTATTATAAGAGACAAATAACCAAATTATGTTGATAAAAAAAACAGTTACAATTAGTTGAGGACAATTAATATGTAAAAAGTATAATGTTTTTTCCAACAATGCCCCCATTAATAAGGAGAGAGTGTATAAGAGAGAACAATTAAATTATTAAAAGAAAGAGAAGTGGGAGGGAGAGAGAGTATAAGTTGGAGACAAAATAAATAGGGATAAAATAGAGACAACTTTTAAGTGTCTCTTATATATGGGAACATGTCATAAACATCAAATGTCTCTTATAATAAGGAACGGAGGGAGTATTTTTTTGCCGGAAATTTTTCTGACATTTAAACTCTGTTAAAAACCTGGAAGAAAAAACTTAATGCAAAGTCAAACGGAGCTCAATGAAAGTATGCATTAAGCACAGCGATACTTTTTTTTTTTAAATAAATTTTTTTCAGGTTTTTATGTTGGGCCCCATCATATATTCCGAGATCCTCGAAAATGTTAAATATAGTGGTGATCAAGATTACTGAGTTAAAAAGATCCTTGGGGAGACAAGCAAATCGTGGGATTAAGATAATCAGACATTACAAAACAAAGTGCAGTTGATTTTGTCATTTGTTGTTTGTCTCTTTCCTCCTTAATTTTTCATTTACGTGATTCTTAAACAAACATTAATTTGACCTCAGTTCAGTTTGTTATCACGGAATCTCTCTTATCTTCCAAATATTTATTTATTACCAAATAATAAATAATACACCATATTTTAGAGTCAAATGAGAGTCTTAAAAAAGAATCCAAGACTGCAAAATTATTGGTGTGTTAGTTGATGGCCTTATTAAAGTTAAGCGGCGCTAATCAATTTCTTTTGATTATTTCTCAGTCTTAAGTTTCCTGTTTTCTAATAATGATGATTAATAGATGTCCCCCCCACAAAATTCTCATCATGATGATTGGCGTGCCCTCTCTTTTTGTTGCTTTTTTATTTTAAATAAATTACATTTTTTGTGGCCGTGATTGCTCATTGATATGTAAAATATAAATTATTTTTGAATAAAATTGTTTCAATAAAAGGATACTTATATCTAACAAAAAAATTAAATTTTTTAATTATAATTTTAAAACTTGTAACTTAAAATTCTAATGTCTGAGTAAATTTTTCTACTTAATAACTCCAAATATACATATAATAAACTGACTTTGTAGGCAAATGGATCGAATTGGAGGATTCGGGACAGAGTTATGTTCGGAGATTGTGGTGTGGATCTAAAGCAGTTCAAAGACAAATATATTTTCCAGTCACATGAGTTTAATGCAGCTAGATTAATTAATTAGTGATTAATTAATTAAAAAGCATTTTTGGCCAAAAATTAATTAAAAGCACATGTATACGGTGGGCTTGTTTAATTGTCCTGGTTCTAAATGGACTTGTCTCTAACTTCCCAACAAAATTCGTAACATAAAATAAAATTGATGCTCTCAAAATCAATTCTCATACTAACACCTGGAGGAAGATCATTCCCAGAACCTATTATTGTTATCTCTTATATTATTCATAATTTAAAAGAATTTCATTTTAATGAATTTGCATTTTATATTGATGGCGATTGATACTAAGCTTTGCTTGTATTCACTGACACGACATTAAAAATAGATTAATTTAAATTCCAATAATACATAACCCGGAAATAATAAGTGTGATTTTTCCTTTTTTGGAGTGAAGGGCAAAAAATGTAGAATCCACAAATTTCACAATAATTTTGTCTCATACTGTGGGATGAGAACTCGATTACAAGATCTGACCGTTCAGGACCACCACCCCTGAACTCTTCCATGATGGGTTTCCCTGTAATTTGGACACAAAAAGTTTTATTTTTTTCAACTTCTAAATTTGATATAAAAAAAAATCTAAACACTCAAATAATGTTTATCACATTTTAATCTGAAAATTCATATATAAATATTGTAATTAGCTCCTGCACACTGAACACAATCTAATTTTTGTTAGTCTAAATTCATATTCTTCAATTTGAAGTTTTATTTTCAATCAAAAAACAAACTTACAAAAATGACAAGCTACAATTTTTTGAGCAAAGAAGTTACAATAACAATTTTACACTTTAACCATTTTGACTGGTTAATCCCCTATTCAAAGAACTGGGCACAGATCGGGACCCACAGTGTTACCCTAGAATGCCAATTCATTTTAATTTTGTAATCACAAACACACACACACACACACAAACATATATTAAAATTATAATTAAATATATATATTTGGGAAAATATTAAAGCTGTTGAATGCCAAGTTAGTGGGCTAAGCCCACATGATCTCAGCCTCTCTCTCCCGACATCACATGGGCTTAACAACGACATGGCCAACATGCGTGATCTCGTAATTATCTTCAAACCTAAGGGCAATTTTCTTTGACCGGACCTTATAAAGCATGCAACCCACCTCCTCCTCTTTCCACTCAACTGTCACCTCTCTCCGCAATATCCTTTTCAAAAGTCTCTCTCTGCTGCGCTCTCTTCTCTTGCAATCGCTACTCCAACTCCAAGCAACAATTCAATGTCGCCAGCGGCCGCTAAGTGCAGCAAAATCCGACACATTGTCCGAATCCGTCACATGCTTCTCCGGTGGCGCAGGAAGGCGCGCATAACGGCTGTTCGAACGCCGTCCGATGTGCCGGCGGGGCACGTGGCCGTCTGTGTGGGGCCCAGCTGCCGGAGGTTTATCGTGCGAGCGACCTACCTGAACCACCCGGTCTTCAACAAGCTTCTGGCTCAAGCCGAAGAGGAGTACGGGTTTTGCAATGAAGGTCCCCTCACGATCCCTTGCGACGAGTCGATGTTTGAGGAGGTCCTCCGGGTCGTGTCCCGGTCTGAGTCGGGTCGCTCGTTCCGCTTCTTGAACCTCGATGATCTCCAGAGGCGCTGCCACGTGGACGTCCGAATTAACACTGACTTGGCGGGAGAATCCTGGCCCTTGCTTCATGAGGAGCCCATCTGTTAGAGTTAGAGCTAACCTTGTGAATTCGAAATGGCTCGGGTCGGGATTTGAGAATCCGACAGAGCATGACTGACTTTTTTTTTTTTGGGGGGTAATTTTTGTATGACCGATATATTTATTTATTTTTCATCGTTCTGGTGAGTTGGTTCAAGAATCAAGATATTTAGTAGTCAGTAGAGTCGGAAGCTGGTTGGGAAAACGAACCGAGTCATCCCGAGTCGAAACGAGTTGAAGCGGGTGGATCTCCGTTGATCTGTATTGTAAATTATGCTAATTGGTGGCGTCGATTTGAATGGAATATTATTAAGATAAAGTTAAAGCATTTGAATAAATTCACACTGAGGAGTGGTGAGATCGGCCGGCCACTGGTGCACACTGGCGGGGTCACCGCCAGCCGTTCTGGGTTAAAGGGAAAAGCCAAAACGTTATCTAATTAAAAATTCTTTATACCGACAAATGATGATCATGATGGTTTGGCTGAATAAATCAATTTCTTATTGAGTGCTTATGTTATGAATAAAAAATTACGTTGGATGAAAGATAATTGAATAGAAAAACCAATTTTAAAAAATAAGATAAAAACTAATATATGTGATTGTTCTATATACGCCATATTATCTTCCATTTCAAATTTCTTTATTTAAGGTCAAGTTAATAATAATATAGTAACCACATTCTTTATTTTCCTCGCTGGTAATCTGTAGTTTAAACTTTAAAGGTTATTCCATTATTAATTCATACTACTCTAAAACTAACAAGGAAGTGCTTGGATACCTCAATAATTACTTTTTAGAAGTATTTTTTTATAGATTGAGATAAATTTCTCTATATATTTATTTCGTATACCGTAAAAACACTTCTAAAATTATTATTTTGATTTTACCTAAATACCACCTAAAAGTATAAAGGAGGAAAAGGAAAGTTATCATCTGCAAACTTAGAAAGGAAACAATTAAGTAATTATTATGTTCCTGGAAAATAAAAGAAAAAAGAGTACTTATGATGTACCAAAAAGATGAAAGCGGAGTGAGGAGATTTGTGTGAAAGTAAAAGCATGACCACTCTATATTTTCGTACCCCAAAGGCAGCTTTTTTGAGTAGATTGTGAGTTGAAATGTTGAAGATTCTTGTCGGACTTAAATATAAAATACTACTCTGATCCTTAATATAAGACCCATTTAACTAATTTGATTAGATTAAGGAAGTTAGGTTAGTTAGTTAATTATAAAAAAAAGTGACACTTTTTTTCTAAAATACCATAATCATCTTTTTTAATACCCTCTCTCCCTCTTCTACTTGATTATAGTTGAGGGAGTATCCATGGGGGTAATTTAGAGAAAAATGATAAATATGAGAAATGGGTCTTATATTTAGGACCAAAACCAACTTAAAAATTGAATCCTATATTAAAGACCGGAGGAGTACATGTATATCGACACATCAAAATGTAAAAGACTGCTATAAAATGAAAGTAATGTAAATAGCCCTTGCTGGTCAAAAAAATGTAAACAACTCTTATTTCCATCCAAATGGAATATTAAGGCATTTATTTATTCTAATAAAAATATTAAATTAACTTATAAATAGAAATAAAGGGGCTATAACTCATTAAAAACGTTGACTTTCTACTCATTGATAATTTTACTAGTATGTGTTTTAGGAGTCAACTAGAATGAAAAAAAAAATTAATAATTTCAAGAGCTGAATATTATGCTTTCAAGAACTAAAATAAGAAATTAAAATGTAGGTAGTTTTAGAAGTTAGAACAGAATCACATCTCTCCAAAATCCGAAAGGGCAGATAGATAGGAAAAATGAATAGTAATAAATTATGAATGATTGGCACAAGAAAGAGTGCTTGGAGGATAAAAAAAAAAAGTATCCAGTGAGAAATAAAAGAAAATTAATTGGGCCACACATCACCCACGCGCACCACATTCCACGTCACAACCTCACTATGAATCCCAAATTTTCCGTTCAGATTGGTTTTTTTTTTTTTAATATTAATTCCGCTTTAAACTTTTCAAATTTTCTACATTGGGCCCTCATCCCACTTATTTCCCATCATAAAGCCCCCACTTTTCTGCTGGAAAAAAAAAAAGAAAGATACGACTCTTTTTCCTTCCCAAATCACACTCTCCTCTGATCATAACAAAAATACAACTTATTTTCAAAAAACACTTGACTTCATGGAGCGACTGCGAGTAGAAGAGTGTAAATGATTAATACAGTGAGATTAACCAATAATTAATTAGAATAAAGATAAAAAATAATACTAAAATTTTTAGGCGGACTATTAATGTCTCCGGTAAATACAAACATGTAATTTCTCAACAAAAAAAAAAAAATCTTACACAGGATTGAAAGGAATATAATCCATATCAAGAAACGCTCCTCAAAACACCCAAAAAGAGCAGTCATTTTTTGCCAACTAAGGGGGTGTTTGTCAACCTCTAAATCATAGTTTTAAGAGTATTTTTCTGTAAAACGAGACAAATTCCTTCACATATTTACTTCTTAAACCGTAAAAGCACTTCTGAAACCATAGTTTGGTTTCTATCCAAACACCCCCTAAACAATAAACTTGATGCTCCCTCCAGTTCTCAATGTAAATTTCATTTTGTAATACTACCTCATGTCTTTAATATAAGACCTTGTTTGACTTTTATTTTGGTTCTAAATATAAGACCCCAATCCACTTTGTCTCTCATATTTACTCTTTTTTTTAATATAGTCCTTCTAATAATTATAGTTTTAGTCAATACACTTGATTAACAAGAATATTTTAAGAAAGACAACACCTATTTATGACAAATAACTAACTCAACTTACTTCCTTAATCTTCTCAAATTAGTCAAATGGTACTTATAATTAGGACTGGAGGTAGTATAAATTACACTATAAAATGAATTTTATATTTAGAATAGAGTAAGTAATAACGTCTTAAAAATTTAAACAGAGATACTACCTCTGGTCCTAATTATAATACCTCGTTTGAATTTTATTTTGGTCCTAATTATAAAGACCTTAATCTATTTTGTCTCTTATATTTAGTCATTTTTCTTCAAAAAATAGTCACTGTAATAATGATAGTTCTAGCCAATATATTTTATTAGCAAATATATTTTAGAAAACACAAAACTTATTTATTATAAATAACTAACTTAGTTAGTTTTCTTAATTTACTCAAATTAGTCAACTAACTCTTATATTAAAGATCAGAGGTAGTAATTCATAAAAGCCAGCACATTACACTAAGAACCTTTAAAGTACACATGATGACAAATTAATTTGGTTGATTTCGTTCGCATAGTTGGCAAGAGAAAAAAATCTCCTTATTGGAAAAAAAATATTAGGAAAGCAAGCCGGATTTGTTGTTTGATTTTAGGATCAAAAGGAGGCCAGTAGATAAAAATTAATGTTTGAAAGTGTGGCCTTATTATTAATATACGGGAGTATGATGTGAAATCGGGCAACGTCATTTTCTTCAATAGGGATGTCTAATGTCTGTGTATTAAAGCTTCATGTGCGAATTAATATCAATAATATTACAGCTGTTTTCAAATATTGAATTTCGGATAAGACTAGGACGTGCTCTTTTTTTTTTTTAAAAAAAAAGCTGAATAAAAACAAAATAAAGGTAATGGTATAACGAATCAAATTATTAAGATAGTGGAAACATTACATGTAAACGCATACATTTTCATGTGAGATAGACATATTCATACTCTTCATGCATTATAGTTTTTCTTGTATTTGAAGTTGTCATTGTTTGTTCATTTATTGTAAAATTTTTTAGTAATTACCACTACATTTCTTACTTACTTGAGACTTTACAATAATTTAGGTAAAGCAGCACTTAGTATCCAAACATTATTTTTTTAAATAACATTCAGTATTTTAATATTATTCAGTGTTACTTTTTAGTTATATCTAACATTCTAATTTTATTGATGACTATAAATAAGATGAAAGTAGTAAAGATATTATAAAAATAATATTGAAATAGTAAGTAAAATTAAAGTACTAAAACTGTTATAAAAAATAATATCAAAATAGTAAATAAAATTAAAGTACTAAAACAATTATCAAAATAATATCGAAATAGTAAGGGTGTGTTTGGGATTACATTTGGAGCCCCAAACTCACTTCTCTGTCTGCAAAAAGGAGTTTTTTTTTACTTGAGATGTGTTTGGAATCACATTTTTATGATCTGACTTATTTGTACAAATGAGCTTTTAAAGAGAAGCTTCTTTTTATTGTTTTTACCGGTAAGTCCAAGAAAAGCTTTTAGAGTATATTCATCTTGTTCTATATGCTTTTTTTTTTTTGGTTGGGAAGTCAAAAAATGAGAAGAAGAGGCTCAATGTTTGCCATTATTTTATATATTTAATGTAATTAAGTATTTTAGTATTGTTTGATTTCTTCCTAACAATAAATTAAATTTTTTTATCTTTAATACTTCTTTTAAAACGGTCACATTATATATATAATATTAGCTATGTATTACTTAATAAAATTTTTGTCCTTTTAAGTTATTTTGCATCTAAAATTATTTTTCTATTAATCATTCAAACAAGTTTTAACTTCTTAAACTTTTCAAACTAACTTTTTTACAAAACACAATCTAAATATAAATCACATTACACTATTTGACTTTTATCCAATCTGATTTTTGTAAAAGTCAGATTGAAAAAATTACTTTTATCACTGTTAATCCAAACACACCCTAAGTGCATTGCAAATAAGCTTAAGCGATTGAAAGAACTTAAAAGAAAATAACGAATGCTATTTTCACCATTGATTTTTTGAAAAAGAAAAGCATCCAATAGGAAGATCTGTGATTTTTAAACCCAAAGAGGCCATCCAACGGTCAGAAGAAACGGGTACCCCGTCTGGTGCTGGGTTGTGTGTGGAGCCAGCGATTCCCTGTGGCTCGTCCCCACAATCATAATCCAGAGGGGTCGGAGTGGGGCCCACGTGAAGGCCTCACGTCCTATCATCACCCACTCCTACAAAACAACATTCTATTGCACGTCGCTTTCATGTTTTCGGCTTTATGTATGTAACCGCCGGTGATTTTATGAGTCCCCGCGGAGTCTGAGCCACACAGTACGCATATCGTACCATTGTTATAGAGTAAGACAATTTTGTCCCTTCAATGTCCCTTCCTTGCTTCTTTCTTTTTCTTTTTCGTAATTTTGATCATTTTATAGCCATCATAGAAACTCAACGAAATTTAAACCATTTGAACTTAATCTGGAAAAAATGTTAGACCAAGATTCCATGACTTTTAAGTTTTAACTTATATACCAACGCTCGTTACCTGGAAATTTAATTTATATTGTAATGTAACTATTGAAATCACCAAAAACTTTATGAGACATTTTTGTATTATTTAGAAAAAGGGAATATTCGCCACCTTTTGACGATTCGTTAAAGTAATAATTACAATGGTCCTGTACATTCACATGAAATTCTCTGAATAACTTTCAAATGGCGCTACTCTCAATACTTTCAATATTTTTACGTTGATTAGATATATTTTAAATAATAATAAAAAAAACATATGAATCGTACTTCGCCCTGTCTTAAAAAGAGCCAATTAAAATTAGTTAATATTTTTAAAATTTTAAATTATCCTTAATTGTGTTCCTTAATTAAAAAATATTTAGTTAATTAACAATATCAAAGCAAATGACATTTAAACAAAATTAATTACTCAAACAGAAAATCTTATATGGAGGATTGTGTGGGAGGTTCAGATAAATATTAAATATATTGACCATCATTATTCTTACTATTAATTCCTATATTTAATATAAGAGTAAGTTAACTGATTTGGATATATTGATAAAATTAGTTAAGATAGTTATTTATAATAAATTAGTATTATTTTTTGTAAAATATCTTTATTAATCATGTATGTTAACTGAAATTTTTAACATGTGTAACTATTACAAAAACTGTCTTAAGAGAAATAGATAAAGATGAGAAATAAATTAAAGTAGATTAAAATCTTATATTAAAGAGGAAGGTAGTATTTAATTACTGTGATGTTCATTATTATTGTTGTGATTGTGTAATATCAAGGTACATTGGAGGTGAGCGAATCTCATCATATCTTATTTCATCCCTTAGTCACCATCAAAATCTATGACTTTGAAAAACGAGACGCGAATTTAAGGGATTGCTTCTTCTATATTTAGTTTCATTTATTCTGAAAATCCGAAAATATAAGTTATTGTTAATGATTTTACACCTATCATGAACATTATAAAAAACCCTTAAAATGCAATTTTTTTTCAAAATCCCGAAATTAAAATTATAGAATGTAAACCTTGATGGTTATATTTCTATTTATTTAAGTTGGTCTAAGCATTAGGGTTTTAATTCTTGAAAAGCATGTGGAGTTTTCTGATTCAACGACACTAAAGATTATTAAGGGGGTGTTTGGCAAGATGGAAATATGTTTTTGAAAAGCACTTTTTCACAAATCGGGACAGATCTTCTAAATATTTGTTTCGTATAACGTAAAAATATTTTTAGAATCATGGTGTGGTTTCCGTTCAAATACTCTCTAAGTCTTTCTTAAATGTTTGGTTGCAAGTTTGTTCTTTTCATAAGTATAATATGCGTGAATTTCTTCCAATAAATAACAAAAAAACCCCTAAAACTATAATTCGAAATATGATTCTCAAACCTTTACGTGGGGAGCAAAATGCTTCCTCGAAAGATTAAAAAATGAAACTACTTGGTCATTTTTTATACTAACATGAAGCATGCAATCGAGTGATGTCTCTTATGACTCATCAATAAAATATAATATTATTTTCCCATTTTCTTACGATAATTTTGACCAAGATCAACGGATATCCACACACACACACACACACACCAACTCATTTAGAAAAACCCGTATCCACAAATATAAACATAGTTGGGTGCGTAAATAATTAAATAATAAATATAGAGACACACACCCAAGATGTGTCTCAATCGCCAAATCTCTTCCAAAATACGTTTTGGAGGCCCAACACACCCTTCCCCACATCTTCTCCCTTCTGCCAACAGTGTCCTTTTCATTTTTCCAAAGGGGGGGAGAGAGAGAGAGACAAATATATAATTTGAAAATAACAATTCACATCTTCGTACGATCCCACATTTATTTATATGTCATAGATTTTATGACTAACTATCCTTATATTAAAAATATATTATTTTATAATTTATTAATAAAAATAAATTTATTGCAATAAAAAAATATAATCCTTGTACTCGCTTGTTAGTTGTTGCTCCTCTGAAAATCAAAATAAGTTTATTTTGAAAAAATTACAATGGCTCCGGAAAAACTATATCAAACATCTGATAGACTGAGTAAAATAATAGTCCAAGAACGGCGCTTTCCAGGAAATTGCAGAGAACATGGGTGTCAACACTTCTGGACAAAAAAGTTCAGAGTAAAAAGAAATTCCCTTCAAGGTAGATCCCAAATCTTTATTCTGCACTTCAAGACAATAACTACCTTAACACTTCTACATTCTAGTTACAGAGTTTGAATTACATATATATAGTTTTGCCATCTTAATTAATATAATTAACATCTGATGTACTTAACTAAAGGTCAAATTATGTGAGACTCTGAGGTTTGATTTGTTACCTGGGCAGTATTGTGAGTATTGTGAGTAATTGTAATTTGACCAAAATCAAACAAGCTAGCAATATACCAAACCATGACATAAAAGCTAAATATTGATACGAAAACACCTGCATCCCTGCAACAAAGTGACAAAAAACATAAATATAAAGCTCGCATCTCTGAATCTGCCATGTTTAGAAGTACTTGTTTTGTAATGCAAGAGAGAGAAAAAAAAAAGAGGAGTGAGCAAAGAACAATGTGTGCAGAGAGAAGCAATATTAGTCCAAGCTAAGATATTTTTTTTTCCTGAGGACCAAAATTTGAATTGGATTCTGGAGAGAAGCACAAGTTATTCTCTTTGCGGAATAATTGAATTTGGTGGGTCATCATGTTTACTATTATATATATATGAGTGGAAATATTCGGATTAGAATTATATGTATGAGAAAGTACCAACAAGAGTTCGGTCCAGTAAAAATAACTAATCTATTTGTATAGCAAAATACTTCAAATATGATTACTTTTAATAAGAGGATACCTGTTGTTAATAATAAAGTTTACAGTTGGAGTTATATATGTGGTTGGAACCCCAAAATTAGGATCAGAAGTAAAAGATAGAAGCATTACTAATTTAAAAGAGTCAGACTTCGTTTCTCTGTTTAAAATTTTACCATCTTTTATCCCATTATATTATTATTAACGATCATGATCTACGCCCCTCCTCATAAGAACTTGCAGACTGTGATAGTTGCAATTAATACATAACCTAATCAAGTCATTCTATAAAGGAACCAATATTTTAATTAACCACCAGATCAGAGTGTTATTTGATGCACTGAAATGTATGATCTTCAAACTTTCGTTATACTTATTCTTGTTCGACATATGTAATATTTGAGAAAGGTGAGTGTTTCTATGCATCAAGCTGGTGGGGTAATTTAAGAGGCAAGCCATATAGTACTCAGATGAACCGTACAAACTTTTAAGTACTCGATGTATATTATATTCCCTGACAAAGCTAGCCATGCACTGGTCCCTTATCTTCATTTTTCTTTAATGCACTATACTCATTTTTAATTAATACAGGACCTAATCTTGCGTTTTCCAACCATGCACACATCTTGACTTGTCTGATCCTAAATCACATAATTTTTCATCATACGAAGAAGACACAGCAACCTGCACCTTTAGCGATTATCAATGTATGTGTGCGTATGTGTGTTCAGAAATAGAAAGAGATAGGCAAGAGAGAATCATGCATATAAATATATCTATAATTCCATTCATATGTGTGATTCCCTCTGTACGCATAACAGTATGAAATATGAATATACAGAATTTGATTTACTCTGTGTGTGTGTGTGTGTGAGAGAGAGAGAGAGAGAGAGAGAGATTGGCATAGAGCATTGGAGTAGAATGGGCAAATAACTCCGATTTTTTCATTGACATAACTAACTTCTCTCACAGGGTATGTATAGAACCTCTGTGAGGAAAATCTCAAACCTTTTTACAGATTTCACCCTAACGAAATATTTCACATGGGTCCAAAGTTAGAGTCACAGATTAAACACAAAACCCAAATAGGGTTGTTGAAAACGAAACCCGCAAAAAATATTGAAAGAAGAAAGGAGATCAAGAATTGATTACAAGAACAGACATGACTCTGAAGAGAGATGTTAAAAAAAAGAGAAGCAAAAGCTGCTGCTGCTAGCTTCATCTTGGTCATGCATCTTCTTCAAGGCAGAGCCATCAAACATATTGTTCCCAGCTTCTTAATTTCTCTAATTCATCTAAGCATTGATGTTAGGGACCTGAAAACAACTTCCTCACAAGGGATAGTGAGACCCATATCGTGATCAAACCCAAATTCTTCTTCAGCCTGACGAAGGAGGGACTGGAATTCTGGGTGAGTCAAGAAGGAGATAGGCACAATATACCTACTTCTGTTCTCACCAACGTACACGGCAAAATGGCCTTTGGGGACGTCAAGAGGGAGGCCATCATCATCATAGCCATGTTTCTTTCCTAAGCTGGAACATCTCTTGAGGATTTGTTTCAGAACTGCAGTCTGGGGAAGCTTGCTGGGTTTTCTAATGGCCATGAGAGAGAAGATAAGTGATCTATACTCTAAATCAAATTGATCGTGAAGGAAAAAGCTGAGAGATAAGAGAATGAAGAAGTAGATGCGGTGGTGGGTGAAGGCAAGTGTGGGGGGCTGACGGGGGTATTTATTAAGAGCCAGGCCTCGGTTTATGTAAAAATACATATCAGATACAGTCATTTTTTTCCCCCAAATCGTTCTGAGTCTAATAAGTGACTAATAAGATCATTGAATAAGAGAAGAAAAGAGAGGGGTAAAACTAAAAGGACAGGCCACGGGTGTATTGGTGTATGCGTAGTAAATGGAAGGACATGGTAGGAGAGCAGCCCATTGGCTTCTGATATTCAATGTTGGCCCTCCCAGAGGCAACCTGGTCCCATTCTCATGCACCCTTCATTTTCAACAATTGCCACCGATTTTCTTCTTTGTTTGCCTCTTTATTATTCATATTTTAATAGCAATGAAAATCAATATAAGGGTTCAGGTTTTCATCTCATCATCTGGCCATTTTGAGTCACATCCTATTCTTAATAAACTAATGCCAAAAGCCAAAAGGACAGTCCGCTTTTCTCTCTTCTTGCTGTTAAACCTAGTATCTTTTCTCTGTTTCAGTTTTATTGCTCTTCGCATCATATGTACTTTTGTTTTTTGGCATTACGATTGGACTTGTCTTCTCTATTTATTTCTTTCCGCCATATTCAAAGGCAGGCTCCTCTATATCCGTAGGCACATATGTTGAAGCACCAAAGATGCAATCCCATCTGATATTGTGTAAAGAGCTATGCTCTACAATATTAAAACCTGATTCAAACAGAAACACTAACTAAACAAATAATTATTTCACCCAAAAAAAAGGAGATCAATTGAATTTCGAATTGTTCATTCTCAATTTCTAAAATGATATACTGAGACTGTTTGAGATATTTATATGAAAAAATTAACAGAAACTTTTGATTTGACTCGAACTTGCTCATTTTCTTATTCAAATAATTGCTCTATATTCACAATGAAGTTTCTTGTTGAGATGAACTACCAATCACGTGGAATGTTCACCTTAAAGGCTTGCTAACATCAAGTTATTATGTGGGCTATGTAGAATCCCACTCTTCTACTCATCCCTAAACTACTCTCTCTCTTTCTCTCTCTCCCCACATACCATAATTCACGGACATACAAGAATAAAGTGTACTCTTCGGTACAACCTGGTGTTGGTTTGGCTTTTCTGATGTTTGGGGCTTGTGATACTGTGGACTCAGTGACAGATAAAGCAAACAGACCCTCAGACTTAGCGCAACAACAAACCATTTTAGCAGAAACCCATGCGTCTCTGTTTCTGCCTTTGCAGATTTTGACTCCTCAGTCCTTATATCTTCAAAACGAAACACATTTCTGACCTAAATAAAGTAACAATTATACCTAAAGCCTATTGCTTTGTGCCTGGTTGGGCATTTCGTCATTATTCTTTTTGTTTATCTTCAACTTACTCCATGTTCTATTTCCATATCAGTCATGCACATAGGACATTAATTACTCTCTGCATTCTATAACTACCTACCAATTCAGGTACTTGAATATTATATTATGAATTGAATAAACTAATAATTAATTTTGGTTGTTGAATTAATAAATCCATTTCAATTTAAGTTAGATTCCAAGATGTTTATGGATGCATGATCAGTTAGATATTCAATACAACTATAATTTGATTATCTCACCTATTTGAATTTAATGCAAGTTTGTTAATAAAATTACAAAACTGAAAGCAAGTTCCATTCAAGTAGAAATATTTGAATTTAAATTCAAACAAATAAAATGAAAAACAGAAAAGATTTTAATATATGCTTGCCTTCCCATCTAAACTCTTTGGATTCTGTGAGACACAACAATAAAAATTCACACACCATTCACCACCAATTTCATAACTTAATCAGATTGTTTCCCAGCCAATTTTACTCTGACTAGGACGGATTTACGAACTTTATAAAAGTTTACAAGATCCCTAGAAGAGGCTACAAACAATGTCTGTCAAACACGTTCTCATTAATTCGATTGACCAAGGTTACGAAAACAGAGTATATGACTGGTTTGGTTTTTCTTGTAAGTCCTTTCTTGTCTCTCTTCTGTTCCTGTTATTCTTCTTTATACATGCTTCTACAAACTAGCTGTTATAATATATAACGTGAATTATGATCGTATGATGCATATTTTGGGCTCTGTTATATTTGCTTCGCAGGATATATGACTTTAAAAACGGGGGACAATCATCTAGAAGCACTTTTTTAATTTAACAATCTTTGATAAATAGAGCTTCCCTAGCTCTCAATCAACTAGCTAATGGGGCGAATAAATTATGATTCTCATATCAACTCCTCTTCATTTCATTTCATTTTATCCTGCAGTGGGATGCATGGGGGAGGGAAAAGAAAAAGAAAAGGAGAGTATATTCATTTCTGCCAGAAGCGTTCTTAATTTTTAAATGAGATTCAAGAATAGAGTAGCTTACAATAATTTCTCTCTTGGCTTTTTGGTCAGCGGGAAGAATATTATATAATATTCTGTTTCATTTTCCTTGAAGTACTCCTCTATGTATTCCAACTCATTAACAATTATTTAACTATCATAGATGATATGTGATTGACTCGTGAGATATTCATACTCTTTCCCTTCTACGTATTTGAAAATGGATAGATCAAAACCAAAGCATGACACGACACGATATGGTGGACAAAGAAGCTAGCTGTCAAGGAAGTTTGTTTGAATGTGAACTCGAAGAGGAAGAGGTCATACTCAACGTGTTTGGTTGGGTTTTCGTGGAGGATATTCATGTCAATTGTTGGAGTAGATGGAAAAACTGGTATAGCGATAGGCTTCAAAGTTCAGAGTATAACAGAACTGATAATAAAAGTTATATAACAATGCTTGTCATTTTCTCAACCTACATATTGGATTATCCACTAGTGTAGTGTTGGCTGCTACAAATAGGTGTCTCAACAAACTCAAGGCTTCCCATGTGGCCCTGTCTAAACCAGATCCACTAAATGGCAGAGCTATAACTAAGACATAAATCTATATCCAATGTGCACCACTATCTCGGTCTTACCTCTTCTCTGCATTCATTTTTACTTCCATACCCTACCATGTTTTCATGGCCCACAAAATGATCGTGGAAGATGCTTTCTTGATTTTTGCACAGGCCTGACTACGTCGTCATTGACAGACCATGGTCCAAAAATAAGCCTGTCACACAAAATTCCACCACATTAAAACTCACAAGTTTCATTGTTGACTCTCACTTTTTATGATTATTGTAGCCTTTATATAATGATTCATAGCACTATCCGTCATTTCAGCCATCTGTTCTTCAATCATTTTCTGTTTTTCACCATGCGAGACAGTGAAAGTTGAGCGCTTAGAAAAACTGAGCAAGACAACAGATCAGACACATACCCTTAGTGATTTGTAAAGCAGCATCCATTATTTCTGTGATCTATATATCCTTGAGATTTGATCTGTTGATTATTATTCCCACACCCTCAGACTTGAAATCTGGTAGGATTCAATATCCAGTCTCGTACTCTCCTTGGCATAAATTCAAACAGCTGGTATAACCTTTCATCTAAAGTCCAAGGGAAGATCTCATTTACTAGTTACTACATTCTGCTAGAGTAAACAATCATATGTATTTCTGAAAATAATTAGAGGCTGAGATACATAGAAACCATGCAACCAAGTACCTGGATGTCACGGCCCTCGCAGAGAGTGAGGCATGTTCTGTGAATGAGATTGAATGGAGAAAAAGAGGAGGATTGAGAACAAGGGAGAGAGAATGAAGAGGCCCACCATTTTCACGAGAATGAGAAATATGCCTTTTTGAAGAAGATGGCGACTTCAACTTTGTTTTGGCACATGGAAGCGCAGGAAGGCCATGTTACCCTTGCCCCATAATCATCCTTTCGTGAAAAGACAAGTTCGTTCCATCACACCCCTCACTTCTCCCAAATCCCACGTCACCGGCTTGTGTTATGAATTAGTATTTGCAAAATTCTTTTGACAGATTAAAAATTAGTTGCCATAATATAAAAACTTTAACCCCAATTGCGACATTGAAACAGTTGTTCTTAATTACGCACTTCCTAAATATACAAGTCTCAAGTATTTTAACAAAATCATTAGTTAGTTTTCTTTAACTGAGTCCCATCTTTCTTGGTTGATGCTTAAAATCACGCTGTGCCTACACATTGTATAGAAAATGAGTGACCCAAGGGTTGAAAACGTGCACTTCGAACTCACTCCATATCAGGATAACTATTTTACTCATTTACATTCCAAACATTTTTTTTCATGCTTATTCATCCTATGACTACGCACAAAAACCCGAAAAAAGAAAAACTAGAAAAAAGATCAAGACGGTAGAGTAGAGGGATTCTTATTAGTGAGCTATTATGTTCATGTATATCCAAAAGCATTGTCATTAGGAGAAAAGGATTTCCGTTTCTGCAGCGGAAAATGTGCATACAGGCGCAAAAATTAAACATAATCTCAGATCCCCGTGCCCAGGCATTTTAATGAGTAGCTGTTTAATGTCAAAATTGGGTTATCTTCTCCGGCAACAGCCTCTTCTTTGACATCCTTGATTGCCCAGACTTTTTCCCCCCTCGCTGTTGATGTTGACGTAGCTTTTCTGTGACTGCTGATTTCTGTCAGATTAGATGACTCAGGGTGTGTTTAGATGAAACCAAACCGTGGTTTAAAAAAATGATTCTGGAGAATAGATTTTGGAAAAAATAGATTCTGTGAAGAATAGATTTTGTAAAAAAGTGATTCTGAGAAGTGAGAGTGTTTGGATAGTTGTTATCAGAAGCACTTTTTATATATACAAATTACTAAAAAAAAGACATAAGTTAATATGATAATTACAGAAAAAATAGATTTTATGATATATTTTAATTTGAAGAAATAAAATTGTTAATAATATGTTTTTTACCAACATAATTAATAATACATAAGATAATATAATTAATAAATAATTAATGTCTATATATATTTATAAAATATAAGATTAAATATATTTATAAAAAAATATGTTTATAAAAAAAATAACAAGATACATATCATATAGGCCCTCACACTCTCCCTTTTTTCTCCAAAAGCAAAAAAATTTTGCTTTTTCCAAAACCATGGTTTTGACCCAAAACCATGGTTTTGGTTTTTGGAGAGGCTGTTTGGGTAGCATTTTCCCCAAACCATGGTTTGGGGTGCTATCCAAACAGAGCCTCAGTTTGACTTGTGGATCTAAGAACTGAGTTTTAAGACGGTTATAAATTCAAAAATTGAGTTACAATGAGTCATAAATGAAGAATTAAGTACTTTAAAAAGACTAAAAGATTAATTTTCACTAATTTATATTTATACGCTTTTCTCTTTTAATAAATCAACTTATGTTAATCAACAGTACTAACAAAATAAAATTACAGAGAATAACTGTTCAGATAAAGCAAAAATAAATGATTTAATCAAGTCGTTTGGTTGTTTCTTTTTTTCACTCACTTGTGGGCATTTACTTGTTTCACTAAAGTAAAGCCATTTAATTTTCTTTATGACTACATTAAGATTAAAACTATTGTCTGGAATAAAATTTAATATTGACTTGAATATTCAACAGCCTCTATTTTTAGATTAAACTTCATTACTGAAAATATAATTAGCGAGACATGTTTCTATTTCAAATGACAAGCATCCAAATAACTTTTAGAACAAGAGAAACATATCGAGTATTAATTTAAACAAACTCCCATCCCTGGCCTAAAAAGGAAATTAAACGAACTCCTAAAGAAATTAATACATTTACAGCAGTCATTCTTCCTTGCCATCATCACTCGTCTCTATCTTAATTCCAAGAAAATATTTTATAACCCACTTTCTGAAGAAGAAAAATGAATTTCTCTCCATCCGTTCCTCTTTTATCTTCCATACCTCATAAAACACACTTATTAAATGAAAACCTGCTCAAGCATGCATGGCAAGACCAGAAACCATCCCAACCTCCACAGGTTACCCTTTATGAAAGGCCGCGCAGCAATACATTCAGATGGTACTATCATCCAACAAAATATATTTTGATGAGACAAATTGGGGGGGGGGGGGGGAGAAAAAGCAGAGATATATAAGAAAGATAGCCAAAGACATTCAAAACTACCATCTCTGCCGGTGGGATTTCTTTGCCTCACACAATGGGGTAACAACTACAATAAATCAATGTCTACATAGTTATGGTAATAGAAGAGGCAGAGTACAATTTCTAACCTTAAACAATTAAATTATGCACATTTGGCCCCCCTTTTGGTGGAGCTCAACTCTCTGGAAAAATTACAACACCGCACAGACAAGTGGAAAAAATAAATTTGAAGAGACAACCTGCTGACCAGCTACATAATCATTCCATTCTCCTATTATAGTGCTTATCTGCTAGCTAATTGAAAGAAAAACTTCAGAGTCCTAATTGTGTACATCTACTGGTCAGAGGAAGATTTGAACAGCTGATGCTGCCCATCTAGCAAGCTGATCTGGCGTCTGAGTTTAGCAATATGAGCTTGAACCTATGACATTAGAAGTACAAATAATCGTGAGTTGGCTCCAAAACCTTCTTGCGAGGTTCATCACTGAAAGTCTTCTACAATAACACAATCACATGCTGAATATAAGCTTCAAGAAAAATGAGATTCAGCTACCGGTGAACACAGAATTGAGGAACTGATAGCTTATCTTGGCCTTTTTTACAGACTTTAGCCTACTGATAAGTTAGCAAAGAGTTCATCCAGAACGAGTTAGCAAAGAATGACAAAAAACCATGTAAAACCTAGTGATCCATAATGAATTTTGGTTGGGTAACTTATTTTGTTAATGTTGCATTCTAATTGCTGATTGATTCTCATACACCACATGAAAAATTATTCGAATTTAGAGAATCTACAGTATAGTGATTATCAGATTTTGGTATCCCAGTGATTGAATCGTGTAATGATAAACAACCAGGACTGATGATGATGAAATTGAAGGGAGCAGAGCACTCATATCTTAAGGAAATTGAGCGTGCCATTTATTTTCCAATGATACATTATATGACGGTCTGGGGATAAAGCGCAAGACTATTGTGTGCCAATTTCATATCCAGATATTTACACAACAGAATAAGACCACTAACAGTAGTATGATTTCAGAAACAGCTGGATGTTACTGCACAAGATGTACCATGTTATGCCATATACACAACCTTATATCATCTTCACTTTACCTCATTAAATGGATTTAACTTATTGGTTTACAAGCACATGCCATCACAGTTCCCTTCCCCTCATTAAGTTGATCTAAATCATTGGTTTAGGAATGACAGGAATCCATTACAATCATACACCATCACAGTTAACAATCTAGATCACAGGATTGTACCCAAATATTTCAAGGGAATAACTCCTTTATGTTCCACTTTGGTCTGGTTGAGGGGGGAGATGACTCGGGAAAAAATTCACGAACATTAACAAAAATCAACTACGAATCATAGGGCAGTAGCCCTCATTCCAAAGTATGCGTTCTAAAGTATAGACGAAGTACAAGTTGCTTACAGACTTCGTAAACAACATAATAAAAATCCAAGTTGTCTGGACTTTCTACAAAGAGACTAACCAGAGAAATTATAAATTATGATCTAGGTCTCCAGGAAGGAAATTGCAAACAAATGTGCGTGTATGAATCAGGGGCACACTGTTTGTCATTCTAAAGTTGCAAGCATATACATGAAAGGATGATCAGACCAAAGTATTATCAACATCAACTTTGATTTCCACAAAGATTATATAAAGTTTAAATAAGATAATCTCATGAACCTGCTGACGAGCTGCTGCAAGCTGTAAGAGCTCATCTGCTTCAGAGAAATTTGTGAACCATTGGGTTAGCGGATGATCTTTAGTATCACCTCTCCTCCTTTTACTTGCATCTTCAACAGGTACTGCACGTATAATAGACATATTCATTCACTTCAAACATGGAACAAAGGAAAATTGCATACTAAAGTGCTAAGAAACATACTTGGATGAGGCAAGGTTATTCCGGCAGGTAATCTTGGAAAGTTCACTACTGGATGGTTTTGCACACGAGCTAAAAAGGCCTCGGAAGGATCAGGGAAAACTATCTCGTCATATGATTCCACAACAACAGGCTTTTTTGTTGACATGGAACTGTTCTCATCCTCAGGATATAACTTCAAGTGATGATATCTGTATATATATTACACTTCATAAAATGCAGGATTCAGAAATTATTTTGGTGTTCACAGAAATTGGTCTGCGTGTTTAGTAACTATTTCCAACAAATGTTAAGCTCACTAAGATTCACTTTAGGTAATTCCACCCCATCCTTTGGTTACAGTACAATAAATATCAGTTCTAGGGTAGTCCATAATCTCATTGTTCAAATAATCAAGCATCCAAACCATTCAGATGGTCCTTTTCTAATCGTATATAGCGATAAATATTAGACGTATCAGCTAGGCATTTCATTAGTTGAAAATTCAGGCAGTTGAAACAAATGGTCGTATCTTCTCTATTCAAACTTAGAAAGCCTGCAGTATTCCGACAGCCTTGAATCACTGTTCATGGTTAGCAGAGCGGTTAAGTTAGCAGAGCGTTAATAGACCAGGTTAACAAGTTATTTTGAAATTTTTTAACCCTTTAAAGCCTTCTTCAAGCATATATTGTAACTCTATTCTGTGCAGCGGTAAATCATAGAACATCAATAGGCGGCTTTGGAAACCAGAGCCAGCGACTAATCAAAAGTAAATAGCATCCAACAACTCACAAGTTCAAAGGCTTGTCACAAACATCGCTGTGGAAATAAAGTGTGATGGCAACTTCAAATTCACCCCATCCTGACTCTGACAACTCAAAAGGAGGTGACTCCACAACCCTTGTTGGATTGTTGAAACTAGAATGCAGCTGAAAAACAGCACGCTTTATGACCACTCCAAGGTCCTCATTGGTTGCTCCACGAACATATACAGTCCATTTATGTGACTGATACCTTGAACAAGATAAGTATATAATTATTTTTTCTTTGTTTGAAAGAACAAAATGCCGAAACTGAGCAGGGCATTACACAGTAATACATAGCATACTTACTCGCTCGCCTTCTTGCCAAGCCAGAATGCGATGTTACCATACACTATTGGAACGCTTATTTCCACATCTTTGAGTTTCTTACCCAAGTTCTAAACATAACACAGAAATGATTATAGCGCAAAAGAGCGAACTTTCAGCAAATTCGAGATAACATTGTTACTATCTTGTGCCATTCTACAATCACATTAGGCATTCTTCACATTAAATTAGAGTTATTACCGTAATCAGCATGCCAAGGCTAGAAATTAAATTGCAGACAGAATCGAACTACAAGCTACCCACAAACACAACAAGAGCAAGGCAAAGAACTGCTTTCCTTAAGTACCAGGGTTCGGAGACAACAATGCATTTCAGAAAATCCAAAAACAGAAACCTGCAAATTCGAATTGAAACATGCAAATTTACCTTTTTCTCATTGTCTTCGGGTTTGCCCATTTTGGTTCGCTGTGATTTGGGAGTGGGACCACTAATTTCAGGCTGATCTTGACCTTCCTTTTTCGTAAATGAGCTATTGGTCTTATCAATTATAAGCTCGTTTGAGAAATCGAAGCTGAATCTGGATCAGAAATCCTAGGGCTTGAGTATCCACCCAAACTACAATGAATGGTTCATCGTTCCAACGGTGTCGTTTGACAGGAGGAGCTCTCCTGATCTCACCGATGCAGGGGATAATCAAGGCTGCTGTGAAGGGTATTGAAGTCATTGGCCGGGCCGGTGGAAGAGGCAACTTTTTTTTTTTTTTGGGCGCGGGGGTTGTTGGGGGAGGGCGGGGGGAACATATTTAAGATTTTTAAAACAATTCTAAATTTTAATAACTATTTTTCTCAATTTTTTGTTTGATCATATCTTAATTATGAACATAGATATATATTATTTTGTGGTAGTTCCAAAAAAAATTTATCAACATAGATAATTACATATATTTATAATTATTGTGTCCGCTATAGAGGACCCAGACTCATTTAACATAAATAATAAAACAAAATTTAATGTGAAATATCTTTTGTAGAAATAATAAAAAAACATTTACTGTTGATTAAAAGAATTTTATATTCAATATTTATATAATGGAAAGAGATTGTCTTTTTTTGAGCAATGTCACCTTGAAATTTGATTGAGGCAAATAAGTTGTTGTTTTTTTTTTTTTTAACTTTATTCAATTATCAGATCATTGAGAAAAAACAATGGGCCAAATTGGATTTGGGCCTCTTTCTATTTTTGTTTTTGCTCACGCTGCTTTTATTTATTTCTGTTAAGCATTTACAAGCTTAATATTTATCACATATCTCATTTTGATGGGCCAAAATAATCTAACTCTTTGTCATTGATATAAAATTTGGGCTTTGATAATTAGAAAATGGATCTAAGAATCTGAACCATCAACTACGAACATGATTTTTTTTTTAATCAATTGGATTGGGTCTAATGGAAGGGATTAGTTCTCTACAATATGGTGAACCAAGATTCAAATCTCCCCTAGAAAAAGTTTTCACATTTATCTCTTATAAAATTATTTCCAATAGGAGGATACCTGTGCTTACAAAAAAAATTGTTTTTTTTTCCTGGGCTAAACATGAATGCGAAAGATTCAAGAAGTCAAGAAACATAGGTACGTGTTTCTTAAACTGAAATGAGCTAGGTACGCACAACAAGGGAGACAAATGACAACAGGATCAGCATTCAGCAAGAATTGAGTTTAATTCTTCCCTGAAACATTAATGGTGATATTTCTCTTATTTGTTTTTTGTTGCTAACGTTTGTTAATATTAAAATCAAAATTAACTTAATTTCACCTTATAAGGTTTTAACGAAGGTATTCTTATAGGCAAGTAAGTGTACTGTGTACATATGCCATTGTTCTTACTGCTTTGAATTCCAGTTTGCTGATAGATTCTTGCAGCAGATTCTCTCCTTCATTAAATCACAACACACATTCTTGAATAATGATAATAACCTTTATGACTCTGAAACACTAGATGAATAAAACTTTTCACTTGGACAAGTTTCCCAGCGACATTGAACATGTATGAATTATGATACAAGAGAAGTTAACGGAATTGTATCTGCTAAGCAGGACTGGCTGGAACCAAATTCATAAGCCGTCTAAATACTTTTAAGTATAGACCTAAACATGAAAAAATCGTGTCAGCAAGAGATTTGGTTTCACATATCAAGTTTGTCTCATGGTATTATATGATTTTCCCAACACCACAAATTGTGGTTCATACTAAATAGACATGATATGTCTATCCATTAATAATGCTTCCCCACATCACTCCCGACCACAGGTTTTATTGCAGATAAGATACTAAATGATGCTTGACAAGGACATCGAAGACAAGCGCCTGTGATCCCTTGTGGTACAAGAAAAGTCAACAAAACTGTACCCGCTGAGCAGAGCTGGTTGAAACCAAATTCATAAGCTGTCTGAATATTTTCAAATACTGACTTAATCATGAAGAGATTTGGTTTCACAGACCATGTTTGTCTCATAGTGTTGTATGATTTTGCTTCCCCACATCTCTCCCTAACACAGGTTGTAATATTTCAGATAAGATAATAATTGATACTTGACAAAGACATACCAAAGACATGTGCATGTGATCCCTTGTCAGCTATGAACCCTTGTCTACCAGTAGGTCCTATTCTCATCGGAAAGCTATATCTCTCTTATCCCTTCATCCTTATATATATACTCATAGTTTTATTCATTCAGATGCAACACAAATTGTTCAGATCTCTAGAGTCAAGGGCTACTTTCTTACTCATAAAATCATCTGAGAATATTCTCTTCCTCACACAGAAAAAATGGGCTTTCGTTTGCCTAGTATCAGAAGGAATTCATCTCTGAAAGGAGTTCACGTGCCCAAGGGCTATCTTATTGTCTATGTTGGAGAGAAAATGAAGAGATTTGTGATTCCCGTATCGTACTTGAACCAGCCAGCATTTCAAGATTTGCTGAGTCAAGCTGAGGAAGAGTTTGGTTTTGATTCTCCAATGGGTGGCCTCACAATTCCTTGCGAAGAATATGCCTTTGAGAGTATCATTTCTAGCTTGAATGGACGCTGATTAGTTGTTATCTAGATAAGACTGACATAAATTAGTGGTTAGCCAACGCAGTTTTGTAAAAGTAGGAAAATTCTTGATGTAAATATTTTTTTTCTTGTCATCATTGTCAAGGAACATGTGCAGTTTACTGAGAAATTTATGAGGATTCACCATATGTTTCTTTCTTTTCTTTTTCTTTTCCTGCAAATCTCACCATCCATCCGAAGATCAAAGGGACTGAGCAGTTAAACATTCATAAACCAACACTGAAACGCAACTGTTTCATAAAGTTGTGGTCGTTATTTGTTTCTACGTTGGGGGCTAAACATTATTATGTTCGAAAATTGAAAATATTTGTATATTTCTTGCCCAAAAGTTGTTTATGATTTTTCCTCTCAACCGGGTAATTATGTTATATAAAAGAAAGAACTAGCATTATTTCTACTTGTCTTTTAAAACGTGAAATTAAATCTAATCAAATGTACAAGGATTTCTCATTTGATTGAATCCACCATATTTTGGTTGCATTTCATTCGGGAACTTTGTGAACCAAACCTCTGGCCACTAAATTCCATAAAGTCATAAATCAATGAAAGTAGTGGAATCTAATCCCATGAAATAAGCTACTAATAAAGCAAAAACAGTGGAAACACGCTTCCACAATTAAGTAAAAAATCTAGGGATAAATATAATAGATACAAAATGAGCAACAAAAGGAAATTAGTGAAAGCATGGTACTATAACGAAGAATCATTGGAAATATGTGATTTCCAGTAAAAATATGAGATTCTCAGAGCTATGTCTGCAGCATAAGAAATAAGCCATTGAATCGGTTAGATAATAATTGGGTTCTGAGCATTACAAATCTCTTGCTCTTTAATTTTCAGAGTTTTTGCTATGCCGATAGATCTTCCTCAAGCAGTCCTTTAACTGGGGCTTCAAAGAAAATTGCACTTCCTATTGGCCACTTAATTAACAGAGAATGGCTACTAATCATGCAGATTAAGAAAACACAGAAAACGAAAAGAAGTTTCAGAAAAAAGGCGTGATTTCGCATATCATGTTCATCTATAGTGAATGATATATGAATTTTAGCCAGCTAATGGGGCCAAACTTTGAGCACACTCACGAGGAAATGTTTGCAAGTTGATAAATATCAAATTGTGGTTCATACTGACTAGACATAAACTACTATCTTCGGTCCTAATTATAAGAGTTAGTTGACTAATTTGAGGAGATTAAGAAAAGAAGTTAAGTTAGTTATTTGTAATAAATATATGTTGTCTTTCCTAAAATATTCTTGTTAATTAAGTATATTGGTTATAACTACTATTGTTAGGAGAACTATCTTGGAAAAAATGCATAAATGTAAGAGATAAAATGGATTGGGGTTTTATATTTAAGATCAAGATAAAAGTCAAACAAGGTCTTATATTAAGGACCGAAAGTAGTATTTAATTTGATCAAATACCTGAGTTGTACTCTGAAGGTGTGCTAGCTGGTCCTTGAGAAAGACCTCGGAGACAACATCATGTGGCCTCTTGTGAACTTTGAGCCCTTGTCTGCCAATAATGGTTTTCGACATACCCTTTCATCTATATATACATTTGGGCTCAAGCATTGAGAAGCAACACAGAGATCTCCACCCAAAAGCCAATCAGAACTCAAAGCCTTCCATCACCTGCAAAGCTATTCAGGACTTTCTCTCCTTGAAAAACCAAATGGGTTTTCGTTTACCTGGAATTAGAAGGGCTTCTTCATTTTCAAGAAACCTTGCATCTTCAAAAGGAGTCGATGTGCCAAAGGGCCATCTTGCAGTCTATGTTGGAGAGAAGATGAGGAGGTTTGTGATTCCCATATCATACTTGAACCAACCTGCATTCCAAGATTTGCTGAGTCAAGCTGAGGAAGAGTTTGGTTATGATCATCCAATGGGTGGCCTCACAATTCCTTGCACTGAAGATGCCTTTGAGAATATAACTTCCTGCTTGAATGGCTGTTGACAAATTACAGTTTAGTTTCATTTATGACTGACATAGATTGGTGATTAGTCAAAACAATCTTGTAGTGCAGACAAATTCTTATGCTGTAAAGATTTTTGCTTGCCCTCCCTGGGGAGGAAAAGTGACCATTTCAGTGAGAAATATATAAGCAGTGACTTTTATTATCTCATTTTCCCTGCATATATCTCTCAACTCTAAAACATTGGTGATATTAAGCGGTTAAACATCGATGAATATAACTCAATATAGTATTATTTTTTTCACAAGGTTAAGATCTCTTTTACTTTCTACACTTTAGATTTGTCAAGTTTCTTAAGCATATCCATCATGTAAACAAGAATTTACTTGGAAACCTAAGAGGCTTCTGCACTAAAATGCAGGTAGATCTTAGAACACCCTCAATAGAAGGACAAAAGAAAAAAATTATTAGGTTTGAAAGTATTTTTTGTATTTCATACGCGGACATTATGACAAAAATTATGAAATAAAATTTCTCTTCTTTACTGAGTACTTTAATTCAATCAAGGAAGAGATGACATAAATCACATTTAAAAGAATTTACCGTGTTTCATTATTGTTTTCTTTGAGACCTTTATGGTCGAACTCTAATTAATGGATTGGAATTTAAGACTTCCAAGTATACCGGACTTGGTAATATCATATTTTTTTCATGAAAGAAAGATATGGTCTCCTCTGAAACCAGCTGAGAATATTACATAACTTACATGATCAATATTAAGCTATAGCCACTGCTTTCGAGATTTTATGAACGGTATCATGGAAGAATCAATGGGACTTATGACTTGGCCCCTGAGATTTCCCGTAATGGTAGAATAAGACGGAGCATCGTATTATTAGAACCTCGAGTGGTGATGACATATATTTGTTTTATGATGCTCTGAACAGGAACCAGATGAACACGTTGTTAAAAAAAATATACAAACAATTGGCTTATGCTATTTGGCACAAAGTAGTGTAACTTCCATATTTGGTGCAAGCGATATTTCCTCTGCTAGAGTTTGATGACCCTTTTTGGTTCTTTCTCATGACACATTTGCGGAGAGAGCCTCCATGTATATATTGTTATGCTTTGCATGGGCTTTGTTATTATGTTCTAACTTCTACGTTGATCTTTTTCTTGCATTTTCTGGTTTGAGAATTTTTTCTTTTATTAAACAAAAAAATTCTATATGCTAAAAGACATTGATGTTTGACAAAACGTAACAGAATTGTATTCATGTCTGCTCAAAATCCTCTCATTCATAGTACAAACTTCAACTTCCGGGGGAAGAATAAGGATGAAAAGCAAGGTAAGACAAAACAAAAATCATTAGAAATCCCTTCTGTACAATTTCATCTCAACTGATCTAATATTTTACTTTCGTTCAGCCAAATTCACAGGCGAATCATTTGAGAAGTGATTTCTACAAATACTCTTCTTTACAACGAATCGTAAGTCCGCCCACTGGGTGGTCATAACCAAACTCTTCTTCAGCTTGACTAAGTAATTCCTGGAATGAAGGTTGATTCAAGTATGCTACAGGAATCACAAAGCGCTTCAATTTCTCTCCAACATAAACTGCAAGGTAGCCCTTAGGGACGTCCGCTGTCTTCCAAGCAGATTCGGTTGCAGAAAAGGAAGGCCTTCTAATTCCAGGTAAGCGAAAACCTATTGTTCTTTTTTCTCTTTGTGAGGAGGAAACTCTTGTGTTTTGATGTTTCAGGATGGAAAAGATTTGTGTTGCTTCTGAGTGCCCATAAAAATGAGTGTGTGTGTGTGTGTATATATATAGATAAAATGATTAAGCAAGAAATAGTTGGCTACTTGGATAATTGATGAAGTGGGGCCTATTGATAAGCAAGAGCTTGAGAACTCAAAAGAGTTCACATGCTGTTGTCTTCAAATAAAATTGACGTCCATGGATGGAAGAGAATAACCTATATTAATTGCAAGACTTCTAACCAGTAAGAACCACTATTTTGATGTTTGTTAAATTTTCAGCAGCACCTGTTGAGAGTACATGAAGCTTGGCCACATCAGTTGGCAGAAAAAGCTCTTTGCAATAATTACATTCATATCTTTGGTAAATGATATGAGTGTTAGCCTACCAATGGGGCCAACCATATAGCACTCTCACGAGGAGTTGCTTACAGGTTGAAGAACATTGCATTGTGGTTCACACTGACTAGAAATAGTGTTATTATTCTGATCAATCGCATCAGTTATATTTTTTCTCAGGTACTAGTTGGTCCTTGAGAAAGACCAAAGAGAGACAAAACCATGTGACTTCTTGTGAACTTTGAGCCTCTGTCTGGCAATAGGATTAGGTATCATCACATAAATAATGGTTTTCTACAGACCCTTTCATCTATATATACCTATGGGTTAGAGCATTCAGATGCAACACAGAAAACTCAATCCTGAAGCACTCCGAACACAAAGCCTTCCTTTTTCCCCTAAGCTATAAAAACTTCTGTCTTCTTAGAAAACAATGGGTTTTCGCTTACCCGGAATTAAAAGGTCCTCTTCATTTTCAAGAAATCTTGCATCTTCGAAAGGAGTGGACGTGCCAAAGGGCTTTCTTGCAGTCTATGTTGGAGAGAATATGAAGAGGTTTGTGATTCCCATATCATACTTGAACCAATCTGCATTCCGGGAGTTACTAAGTCAAGCTGAAGAAGAGTTTGGTTATGATCATCCAATGGGTGGTCTCACAATTCCTTGCACAGAAGAGTCCTTTGAGAACGTAACTTCCTGCTTGAATGGCTGCTGACAAGTTATTGTTTTGATTTCAATTATGACTAACATAGATCGGTGATTAGTCAAAACAATTTTGTAGTGTAAACAAATTCTTGTGATGTATAGATTTTCCTACCATTCTTGGGGAGGAAAAGTGACCAGTTCAATGAGAAATATATAAACATTGACTTTAATTATCTCTGATTTCCCATGAAAACTTCTCTGAGGTCTAAACATTGGTGGTAGTAAGCAGTTAAAACTTGATGAAAATTAACTCAATATACTCTTTTTCACATGTTTATGATCTGTTTTAATTTCTACACTTGAGATTTGTCAAGTTGTCCAAATATATATTTCATCTAAGCAAGATTTTACTTGAAATTCTAAAGAGGTTTATGCTTTGAAGTACAGGTAAATCTTAGAATACTCTCAATAGGAATGCAGAAAACAATCATTAGACTAAGAAATATTTTTTGTGTATCATACCCAAGCATTATGGGAAAAACTACGAAATACTATTTCACTTCTGTACTAAGTACTTTTATTCAATGAAGGAAGTGATGAAATTAATCGCATTTAAAAGAATCTACCATGCTTTAATAATATTTTCTTTGAGATCTTTATGGGTCAAATCTAATTAGTGCGTTGGAATTCAAAACTGTTAGGTAAATCTGACATAATAACATCTTATTGGACCCATGAAAGAAGGATATAATCTGATCTCAAACCAGAAAGCAGTAAATTACATGTAAGTTCCATATCAAGCTACAGCCACTTGTTTCTGGATTTCAGGATGTGTGGTACTCCTCCAGTCCTAAATGTAAGATCCATACCCTACAAAATGTGTCTTACATTTAGGACTGGAAGAATACATTTTTTCCAAGTATCAGCACTTCATAACTTATGATCACGGAGACAGTGTGGTATTCTTTTTATATCATACGCAAAGAGTTTGGAAATCTTATTTGCATAATTACGCTTTACAGGGTCTTGTTACGAGGTTCTGTTTTCAGCTTTTCTTGTATCTCTCATCATCTATCCAATTATAAATCCTTTTTTAATAAAATTTTTCTTATATTTTCTGAAACAACGTTATCAAAGTTCAATATATATAAAAGCTAAAACAAAGCTGAAGTATATTTAGTCTATTTTGATTTGCGAGCAATTTTCGTGAAAAAATTTTAGATACTTGCCTAATGCTTAGCTAAATTCGTCTCTATGCAAAAGCCTTGAGATCCCAATTAAATTATTCGTACAGTCCTTAATATATGACCCAATTGTTGAATTAGTTTTTGATCATAAATATAAGATCTATTTCTCATATTTATTAATTTTCTCTAAATTACCCTTATGAATACTCTCTCAACCATAATCAAGTATAAGAGGGAGAGGGGGTATTAAAAAAGATGATTATGGTGTTTTAGGAAAAACGTGTCATATTTCTTATAATTAACTAACTTATCTAACTTCTTTAATCTAATCAAATTAGTTAAATGAGTGTTATATTAAGGACTGGAGGAGTACTCACTGTTTTTGCGGAATAGTTTACAAAAGAGGCCATTATTATATGAAAAGGAATAGCTTATTTAGCTCTGTTATGGATCATATGTACATTTTAAGTTAACAGTTGAATTAGATTTAAGGGGAAATAACAATATCTACTATTACCTCTGTTCATAAAATTCACATTCTGATGAGTAATTTCCCTTCCCATTGATGGTAGGGAAAAAAAAATCTCTACACCACAAGAACTTGCCTACTTTGCAAAACTCTCTTGACTAATCACTAACTTGTTAGCCCTATCTAAACAATGGCTTGTCAACACTCATTCAACCCAGAAATTATATTCTCAAAGGACTCTTCTGTGCAGGGAATTGTGAGGCCACCCAGTGGATGCTCATAACCAAACTCTTCTTCAGCTTGACTTAGCAACCGTTGAAATGAAGGTTGATTCAAGTATGCTACAGGAATCACAAACCTCTTCATTTTGTCCCCAACATAAACTGCAAGATAGCCCTTTGGAACATTGACTCCTTTTGAAGATGCAAGATTTGATGAAAAGGAAGCCTTTCTGATTCCAGGTAAACGAAAACCCATTGTTTCTTTTTCTTTTTTGGGAAGACAAAGCTTTTGTGTTGTGATGTTTCAGGATGGCAAATATTTGTGTTGCTTCTGAGTGCCAGCGAAAATCAGTATATATAGATAAAATGATATGCAGGAAACAGTTTGGTAATTGGATGATTGATGAAGTGGGGCCTATTGTTAAACACGACCTTGAGAACTCACAAGAGTTCACATGCTGTTGTCATGAGATAAAATTGATGGTATGGAAGGAAGAGAGAAACTGATATTAATTGCAAGATTTCTAGCTAATAAGAACCACAGTTTGATGTCTGTTAAATTTGAAGCAGCACCTGTTGAGATACATGAAGTTTGGCCCCATTGGTTGGCAGAAAAAACTCTTTGCAATAATTGCATCCATATATTTGGTAAATGATGTGAATGCTAGCCTAACAGTGGGACCAAACTTATAGCACGCTCACGAGCAGGTGCTTGCAAGTTGATGAACATTGTATTGTGGTTCATACTGACTAGAAATTGTGTTATTAATCTGATCAAACACATCAACTGTATTCTTTGTAGCGTACAAGTTGGTCCTTGAGAAAGACCATAAAGAGACAACACCATGTGACCTCTTGTGAACTTTGAGCCCCTGTCTAACTATAGCATTTTGTATCATACGTAGATAGTGGTTTTCTACATACCATTTCATCTATATATACCCATGGGTTCAAGAGTTTAGATTTACCACGGAAAACTCCATCCTGAAGCAATCAGCCACAAAGCCTTCCTTTATCCACAAGGTTACAGAAACTTTTCTGTTCTTATAAAACAATGGGTTTTCGGCTACCCGGAGTCAGAAGGGCCTCTTCATTTTCAAGAAACCTTGCATCTTCAAAAGGAGTCGACGTGCCAAAAGGCTTTCTTGCAGTCTATGTTGGAGAGAAAATGAAGAGATTTGTGATTCCCATAGCATACCTGAACCAACCTGCATTTCAAGATTTGCTGAGTCAAGCAGAGGAAGAATTTGGTTATGATCATCCAATGGGTGGCCTCACAATTCCTTGCACTGAAGAGTCCTTTGAGAACGTAACTTCATGCTTGAATGGCTGCTGACAATTTATTGTTTTGATTTCAATTATGACTAACATAGACTAGTGATTAGTCAAAACAATGTTGTAGTGTAAACAAATTCTTGTAATGTAAAGATTTTTCCTACCATTCTTGGGGAGGAAAAGTGACCATTTCAATGAGAAATGTATAAACTGTGTCTTCAATTATATCTGCTTTTCCAAACAAACATCTCGGATCTATAAATATTGGTGGAATTAGGAAGTTAAAAATTGTTGAATAATAACTCAATACTCTCATTTTTCACAAGTTTATGATCTCTTTTAATTTCTACACTTGAGATTTGTCAAGTTGCTAAAATATGTCTCTCAAGTAAACAAGATTTTACTTGGAATTCTAAAGAGACTTATGCATTAAAGGACAGGTAGAGTGTAGAATACTCTCAATCTCAATAGGAATACAAAATAAAAAAAATTATTAGACTATTTTTTTGGTATTTCATACCCTAACATTATGGTGAAAATTGTGGAATACAACTTCTTTTCTCTGCCAAGTACTTTTGTTCTATGAAGGGAGCAATGAAAGTAGTCACATTTAAAAGAATCTACCATACTTTAATTTTTCCCTGAGATCTTTATGTGCCAACTCTAATTATTGCGTTGTAATTCAAAACTGTTAAGTAAAGCTGACATGATAAGATCTTATTTCATCCATGAAAGGATACAATCTCATCTGAAACCAGAAACCAGTAAATAACATATAACTTCCATATTAAGCTAGAGCCACTCCTTTCTGGATTTCAGGATATTTGGTACATTTGTTTCCATTTATCAGCACTTCATAACTTGTATGATCATGTAGATAGTGTGTTATTCTGTTTATATCATACGCAAAGAGTTTGGAAATCTTATTTACATTATTATGTTCTATAGGGTCCAATTACCAGGTCCTCTTTTAAGCTTTTCCTGTATCTCCAGTTGTCTATCCGATTATAAATCCTTCTTTAAATAAAATTTTTTCTTTTATTTTTTGAAATAGTATCATCAGCCATCAATAGATATATAAGAACTAAGACAAAGCTATTGCATATTTATTGTTTCTTTTGATTTGCGTGCAATTTTCTTGAAAAACTTTTAGATACCTACGTAGTACTTTGCAAATTTCATCTCTCTACAAACGGCTTGAGATCCCAATCAAACTATTCACTGGTTCTCAGGAGTAGTTTATGAAAAAGGCCATAATTTTATGAAAAGGAATAGTTTCTTCAGTTCTGTTATCATTCATCAATACGTTTGTAGTTAAAAATTGAATTAGATTTAAGGGGAAAATAACAAAATCTGATATAAACTCTGTTCATAAAATTCACATTCAGATGAGTAATTTCGTTTCCCATTGATGGAAAGGAAAAAAAAAATTCTTTATATACTGCAAGAATTTGCCTACTTTACAAAATTCTGTTGACCTATCACCAAGCTGTTGATCCTATCTAAACAATAGCTTGTCAACACTCATTCAAGCCTGAGATTACATTCTCAAAGGACTCTTCTGTGCAAGGAATTGTGAGGCCACCCATTGGATGGTCATAACCAAACTCTTCTTCAGCTTGACTGAGCAAGTCTTGAAATGAAGGTTGGCTCAAGCATGCCACAGGAATCGTGAACCTCTTCATTTTTCCCCCAACATAAACTGCAAGGTAGCCCTTTGGCACGTTGACTCCTTTTAAAGATGCAAGATTTGATGAAAAGAAAGCCTTTCTGGTTCCAAGTAAACGGAAACCCATATTTCTATGAGCAGGAAGCCTTTTCTTTTGATGCTTTAGTGTGGGAAAATTTTTTGTTGCTTCTGAATGTTTGCAAATATGAGTATATATAGCTAAAAGGATGAGGAGGAAATAGTTGGTTACTAGGATGATTGATGAAGCGGGGCCTATTGGAAGACGAGAGCTCAAAACTCACAAAGAGGTCACATGCTGTTGACTTGGATTATTTGAAGACCTAGAAAAACAGAATCCTATTGTTTTGAATTGCTATTTGGTGAAGAGTACGTGAATGATTTCAAAGGATTTTATGAGAAGTATTGGAGACTTAAAAAATGCTAGAGACATAAGCATAGAAGATCACACGATGCTGTCTTTTATGTCTTTTTCAAAGATCATAAAATTTGTGAGACTAAATGGCCCACTTTCATGATAGACATCTTCAGGAGCCAGGACTTTCCGTATTTTATTTTCTTATTGATTGGGAAACTGTTAACATGGACCAGAAGATTCAGAGAAGGCCTAGAAATAGTAGGCGATTAAAAATGATCCGTAACTAAGAAGCATGGCCATGAAGCATCACATGATACTGTCTTCTATCTCTTAATGAAAAGTCAGCAGAGAAGTGAGAATGCTTGCCCCTGTTCCTTGCAAAATAATTATGATATAGTTTATCATAACTGCATTCGAGATATGTTGAATTTTATAAGTGAATTACACATATTAATACTTCAAATAGTAGAGTACGACAGCAATTATGGCAAATGTAAGGTAGACTTATCTAATTTGTGAAATGTAACGTGTGTAAATACTGGTGGATGATTTGGAAATTATTTATTCATTTCTTAGTTATGCATATCTCAATTCCAATGCTCAGGATAGAAACTAACTTTTTTGGCTTTTGCATGCAGTGATAAATAGCACATATAGAAAAGTGGGCCTTTAGGAAACTAGTCTTGTGAAACTGATCGGTGAGTGGCAAAGTCAGTGGGTTCTACTGAAGGAATAGGAAACTTAAGAGATCACATGGCTTTGTCTCTGAAGTCCTTGTGAAAAGGTGACCTGATGGTTGGGAAAGCATGCCCCAGCCAGAGAAGATATGAAAACGAAGTTATTATTTGAAAATTAAATAGCAAGAGATATGTAAAGCTTTGAAACCAATTATTGTTTATCCCATTGAATGACCGACCTCTTGTGTTTCCAACATGCTCTAACATCACCTTTTTTTAATGAAATTTTTAAGCAACACCTTGTGAAAGTGCATGAGGTTTGGCCCCATTGGTTGGTAGAAAAAACTCTCGACTTCTTGAGCACTCTCACGAGGAGGTGCTTACAAGTTGGTGGACATTAAATTGCGGCTCATACTGACCAACAAGTCATGTACTTAATTTGATCAAACACATTGGCTTTATTGTTTGTAGGGTACCATTTAGCCCTTGAGAAAGACCTTAGAGACAACATCATGTGGCCTTTTGTGAGTTTCGAGCCCCTGTCTGCCAATAGTATCTAGTCTCGTCACTAGACAATGGTTTTCTACATGCCCTTTCATCTATATATACTTAAGGGTTCAAGCATTCAGAAGAACCACAGATATCTCCATCCTAAAGCGTCAGAACTCAAAGCCTTCCTTTATACAGAAAGCTTTTTGAGACCTTCTCCTCTGAAAAAAATGGGCTTTCGTCTACCTGCAATTAGAAGGGCTTCTTCATTTTCAAGAAACTTTGCGTCTTCAAAAGGAGTCGATGTGCCAAAGGGCTTTCTTGCAGTCTATGTTGGAGAGAAAATGAAGAGGTTTGTGATTCCCATATCATATTTGAGCCAACCTGCATTTCAAGATTTGCTGAATCAAGCTGAGGAAGAGTTTGGTTATGATCATCCAATGGGTGGCCTCACAATTCCCTGCACTGAAGATGTGTTTGAGAATATAACGTCCTGCTTATACGGCTGTTGACAAGTTATAGTTTAAGTTTCATTTATGTCTGACATGGATTAGTGATTAGTCAAAACAATTTTGTAGTGTAAGCAAATTCTTATGGTGTAAAGAACTTCCCCCCCCCCCCTCTTGGGGAGGAAAAGTGACCGAAGTCAATGAGAAATATATAAGTGGTGACTTTGATTATCTCTTGTTTCCCAATCAATTATCTTTGAGCTCTGAACCTTAGCAGTATTAAGCAGTTGAACATTGATAAATAATAACTCAATATATTTGTTTTTGTAAGGTTATGATCTCTTTTAATTTCTACACTGTGAATTTGTCAAGTTGCTCAAACACTTCTTTCACCTGAACAAGAATTTATTTGAAATCCTAGAGAGGCCTCAGCACCAACTTCTTGTGTTATTATTTGAAGATGAAATTGCAATAGACATGTCAAGCTTTGAAACCAGTTATTGTTGATGCAATTGAATGACCACCGTCTTAGGTTTCCAGCATGCTCTAACATCACTTCGATTCATCCTTAAATCATGTAACGTAATCTGCTAGTAGATACTGCTTCTACAATCAATAGCTTATCGTAGCAGAGCTGTAAACTCTTTCACATAGTAGATAGTTCAAGGCCTAAAAGTTTGAAGTGATAGAGACTCAAAACCTTAGATTTTGTTTCACAGGAATAATAATACAAAAGGAAATATATTAATGAATTTGGGGATTGAAATATCATTTGGGTTTATGTCAGAATACACGGCCAGTAAGTTATAACAAGCTCATGTGATACTAGATGATGATGCTTTACTAAAAGATTTGAAGTATCATTAGTATCATTTAGCATGTAAGAATGGAGAGATTACGAACCAATTATTTGAGTTCTATATGGTGCTGATATGTGGAAACAAGTGAACCGCATACTATGAAATTCAGAAAAAGTGGCTGTGGCTAAATGAAGCAATTATCTGTTATTTGCAGATTTCTACATAAACTTGAGCTCTCATCATGTCTGCATTTTTTGGATGAAAGATGATCTCTTGTCGCATGTGATTTTATTTAGTGGCCCAAATACAGCAAAGACGGTTGGTCCAAAATTTCTCAAGCAAAGCAACAACAAAAGAAAGTTGATTTATTTATTTCCGATTGATGTTAGATCATCCTTATTATACTAAATTACTGAGGAGGAGAGAAATTATACTTTTTAGTTTTTATTATCATATTAGGTTATGAAGTACAAACCATTTAACTCTTTTCTTTTATGTATTATAAAGAATGTTCTCGGATTTGCTGCAATCATTGTTTGGATTCTAATAAACAAAAGCTATGCATGAGCAATTCAACCATCCCAAAATGTAGAAAGCAAAGGAGACAATTTTTTGTAATGAAAAAGAGCAGCTTTTCGTCGACAATTTTTTGTAATACCTTTAATGCAAGAATTGGATGAGATTTGAGGGGAAAATTATGGAAACTTGCATAACGATTTCATATTCAGATGAGTGTTCTCCCTTTCCAAGAACAATCAGAAAAATCCTATACATCATAAGAACTTTCCCACTTTACAAAATTGCGTTGACTTGTCAGTGATCATAGAGCTGTCAATCTAATCTAAACAATAGCTTGTTAGCACCTATTCAAGCGAGAAATTATATTCTCAAAAGCATCTTCAGCGCAATGAATCGTGAGGCCACCCATAGGATGATCATAACCAAATTCTTCTTCAGCTTGGCTCAGCAAGTCTTGGAAGGAAGGTTGGTTCAAGTATGCTATGGGAATCACAAATCTCTTCATTTTCTCTCCAGCATACACTGCAAGATAGCCTTTTGGCACCTCACCGCATTTTGAAGATGTAAGGTTTGCTGAAAAGGAAGCCCTTCTAATGCCAGGTAAGCGGAAACCCATTGCTTTATGTTAGGCTGAGAAGGGAATAAAACGGCTGTGCGTATAAGGAGAAAAGCTCTGAGTTTTGATGCTTGAGGATGTGAAAGATTTGTGTTGCTTCAGAATGCCTGCAAAAATCAGTATATATAGAAGAAAGTGTATGTGGGAAATCCATTGGATGTGTGATCACGCTGGGGCCTATTGGCAGACAATAGTTCATAAGTCAGAAGTGGTCACATGTTGTCTTAGACTTGTTTGAAGGGCAGGCAAGCAGGAACCTATCGTTTTCAATTTCTATGTGGTGAAGAATAAGTGAATGATTTCAAAGGACTTCATGACAAGTATTTGAGGCTTCAAAATGCTAAAGACACGGGCATCAGAAGATCACATGATAAGGTCTTTGATGTCTTTATCAAAGATCAACAAATAATTTGTGAGACTAAATGGCCCACTTTCATGAATAACAGCCAACATGGTCGACACTTATTAATGCTTGTCCTACAAATCCTCAAGAATCAAGGCCTCCCATATGTTATTCCATATCAATGAGGCACACACAGAAGCATTTAGATAAGGCTTCGAAACTGTTGGCAAGTTTTCTGATAGTGAAAGTTGAGTCCTTTAACATTGTTCTCCCGTAGGCTGGCTAGCAACTGAAATGGGCTTGACTAAGAAGCATGGACTTGAAGCAATCATACGGCACTGTCTTTAATCTCTTTATTAAAAATCAACAAATGCTCCCAGGAGTAAGAATGCTTGCCCCTACATCACAGGCCTCTCTGTTCCTCCACACAAAGGCATGAAACCTGGGCCGGCTTAATTGCCCAGATGATATTTTAGGCGACTTATGAAATCAAAGGAAGCCAAAGGAAAATTTAAAAAAAAAAAAAAACAGAATGAATGACTTTAAATGAGATGTTGAATTTGATGATCGACTCTTTATTAACTGCTGATACAGTCATTCAATAACTCTTTCAAATTTTTGCAGAAAAATGCAGAATAGAATATAATTTGGTTTCTAGAGTCTATGCAAATATTCATTAAATTGGTTATATGTTTTATAACTAACTATATTATTCATGAAGTTGTTCGGTTATAAGTTCTATTAGGAAAAATATGAACCTATTCACAGAACTAAGATGAGCCCAAATCAGCCTCACATTTCCACCGAGATTTACTCATCGCCAATTGAAAACTTGAGGACCAGCATCTATGCTTTTGCCACCCTTCATCCTCACATACCCATATCCTCGTACTCACACGGAGAAAATGATGTTTTGTACCAATGGCCTTCAAAAAAACCAGAGCTTTCTTTGTGGTATGCTTGCTGGTTACAATGGCCAATGTCGGAGACGGCGGCGAGGTCGAATTTGACTGTAAAGAGCAATGCATGCCAGTTTGCATGAAAGAGCAGGGTGCCACTATAACGGCTTGTGAGTCAGCATGTAAAGACTATTGCATGCAAATTTCGCAGAGGTCTGAGATTTTTGGTTAGTCATCTTCAATAACGAGCGTGCCAACGTTGGAAACAGAACTTGATATTGCTACACTTGATTCATCTCAACCTTAAATAACCTTATTCCTGAGTTTATGAATTTATTAACAATGGAGCATCATCTCATTGGGGACCCTTCCCTTTTGGTTATTTTTGAACGATGCATGCAAAATTTTTGGTTATGATAGCTGGTAACTGAGCCAAATAAAAGCATTACCTCCATCCTCAATTGTAAGAATAATTTTTGTTCAGTGTTGTGGTGTTTTCAATTATAAGTATCAATGTCTCATTACAAAGCTTTAGGAATAATTAAAATATTTTTCCTTGAAATGCTTCTCATAAATGGTGACATTTAATTGAAATTGAAAAAAATGGAATTTCATTTACTTCAAGGCGAATTTAGAAAGAATAATCAAATTTTTACACTTAATTTTAATCAGATCAAAGAAAGTTTTTAATCTATTATTTATTCTAGGCAAGATTTTGAATCTGCACCTTCCTCCCAGCGAAAGTTCGCGATAGAGTAACGCTGATCCTTGATCCTTCTAGAGGTTGTCGGTTGAGTACAGAATTTTCACTTTTTCACCTAAAAGGCTTTTATTAATTGTTGGGAAAATTATTTATTTATTTAGTAATTACTACCTCCTATTCTTAATATAAAACTCTATTTGATTTTTATTTTGATCCTAAATATAAAACCTCAATATATTTTATCTCTCATATTTACTCAATTTTTTTCAAAATAGTCCTTCTAATAATTATATTTCTAGTCAATACACTTGATTAGTAAAGATATTTTAAGAAAAATAATACCTATTTAGGACAAATAACTAACTCAATTTATTTTTTTAATTTTCTTAAATTAGTCAACTCTTTCTTGTAATCTTATAATTAGGAGCGGAGGTAGTATTTATTTCACCCTGTAAAAATGATGAACTAAAATACCCTACCCGCCTGAACCAGCCCGTTCTCCTTTCTCCTACCGTGCGAGCGGTCGGCTACTCTGCAACCTTTTCTTTTGCCCGCAAGCGCAAATACCAACTCATCTTTTCATCAATGGCTGCCGCTGCACCGCCACCGCCACCGACTCCAGCGCCGGTGGAAGCAATGCCAGAGCCAATGCCGGTGGCTCGCCCTCTCTTCTCCCGCGTGCGTCTGGCCACCCCCCTAGACGTCCCTCACATCCACAAGCTCATTCACCAGATGGCCGTGTTCGAGCGCCTTACCCATCTCTTCTCTGCTACTGAGTCCTCTCTCTCCTCCACTCTCTTCAATTCTCAGCCATTCCACTCCTTCACCATCTTCATCCTCGAAGTTTCCCCCAACCCATTCCCTGAATCGAGCTTCAATCCATTCTACAAACCGTCTGTTCGTGTTGTGAATCTGGACCTTCCGATTGATGATCCGGAGAGAGAGACGTTCAAATCGGAAGGCGATGATGTTGTGGTTGCTGGGTTTGTGCTCTTCTTTCCCAATTACTCCACGTTTCTCGCTAAGCCTGGGTTCTATATCGAGGATTTGTTTGTGAGAGAGTGTTACAGAAGGAAAGGGTTCGGGAAAATGCTGCTTTCGGCGGTCGCGAAGCAAGCGGTGGAGATGGGGTATGGAAGAGTGGAGTGGGTCGTGCTTGATTGGAACGTCAATGCCATCCAGTTTTATGAGGATATGGGAGCTAAGATCTTGCAGGAATGGAGGATTTGCAGGTTAACTGGCGAGGCCCTCCAAGCTTACGGAAATGCTGACTAATTTTTAACCCGCTTATACTGTGTTAATCTGTTTCGAGTTGATTTCCCGTTGAGGACAGTGTTTGAAATCGAGTTTGAATGGCTGAATTTAAGGTTACTTTTACTTTTAGGAGCTCAGTTTAAGATGTTAGCCCGGTAACTATCTTCGAGAGTTTGCTTTAGCTTCTTTATCAGCTGTAAAATCATCATACTTTTTTTATACCAACGATAACTTTCTCCCACGATCACCAATCCCAGTTTCTTGCCTTTGTTGAGATTCATCTTCAATCCACGTCTTGTAGAGATCAAACAATGCTCGTAGACACTACTGATAATGGCGGATTAGTGTCTTCTTGTCCGTGTTACGCTGCTTTATGAATTATGACTTGAGAGCACTTCAGCATAAAATGGAGGACTAAACCCAATAGCTTGTTCTTTCCGGTCAACCAAGACGATGTTTGGATGAAAATTGAAACCATAATTTTGTGGTATATAAAATATATTTAGTTAATATATAGGTGAGTTTGTCTTGATTTATAAAAAAAAAATACTTTTGAAAAATACTTTTATATACATCCAAACACTTTTTTGGATTGGATCATCACTTTTCTGGTTGTTTTGTTGTCACAGTATGTTGTTCTTTTAATATTTTAATATCTTCGATCATCTTATTAGCTATGCATAATCCACACTCTTTCATGGATATATCAACATAGGAACAGAGTCTTCAAAATCTTCTGTCTGCAAACTTTTGTTTTTAAACGCATAGAAATCCTCCAATAGGAGGTACCGTCGTCGACCGTAAACATGAACACCTCTTTTAGTAATGTTTAAGTTGTATTTTTTGGTCCAACCCAGACTTGTTTCATGAGATTTCTGCTCAACATTTCATCTTTGCTCTTTCTTTTTGATGATGTTAGGCGGTGCGTCTGAACATGTTGCACAAAAAAAACCCAACTTTTTTTGGTAAATAAAAATTTAAGTAAGTTAACTTTCAGGAGTTTTTAAAGATCAAGACCTACTTTCAGGTATCAAAGTTGTTGGCAAAAGAAATTCAAATCGGCGGTTCATTTGCCACAAATTTTATCATCCCTCCAAGCTTTGACATATCTCCACAAAATCATCAACAAAGTGGAAATTGAAGACCGAACGTTACAGATAGAAAACCTTGAATAACCCGCGAGTATTCTCCCCCCCCCCCCAAAAAAAAAAAAGCGTACCAAGTAATAATAAGCAAAGTTCAATTAAACACTTAAATTATTCTTCATGCTAAAATTCGATATAAATAGCACGCATAGTAAAAAAAAAATGATATAATTGCATCTCAAACCTAGCACTAATTAAAAACATAAATAAATATGAACGAAAATAGTATGAAAAAAGCCTAATTAATATAAACATGCTATATAATTTAATGATATAAACATGTAGATACATGAAATGCTCATCTATATTTGATGGGTTGAAAATATACTAAAATACAATTAAAATAATTAAAATGACACCCAAAAAAAACTGATAATAACCATTGGACTTTCATTCTGGACACATCATGAAACTTCTTTCATACTTAAGTCATGCTAACTTTGTGAATTTTCATACTTTGTCACGTGTACAAGCTTCTATGGGTTTTAAATGTATAAATAGACCTATGTATCAATTAAGAAAATTAAAAAATATATGTATATATACACATACACATGTAGACCTAAATAGACAAGGTTATTTTGTTTTTTGACCAGATAAATAGACAAGGTTAAGGCCTTCTGGACCCTCTCTATGCATGCTAATATTATGGGCTTTTAAGGTCCCAAATTAAAGTTGAAGTGCTCTTTTCGTCCCTTTGATTCTTCTACTTCTTATTGGGCTTTTAATTGTAAGGCCTTCAATGTCATGTAAAATATTTGGAGACTATTTAGACGTAAGAAAAATGACCCAAAAGAAAAAAACTAACAGGGTTATAGCAAAAAAAGCTTATTTCTCACAACATGATAAATCAGTGTTCGAATCCCCGTTAGGAGAGATGTTTGCATTTAATACTCAATAGTGCCTTGAATAGGATTGCCTCCAACAGGAGGATACCTATGCTTTAGGAAAAAAAAAAACCAAAAAAATTAAAAATTTGTAAATATCAAATAAAGAATGTTAATAAAAATTTGTTGTTATTTATAAATTCAGTATTATCAACACCAAATAAAGTATTGTTACCAAGCCTAATTTAGGATTTAGTAATTTTCAGTTTCTTTTTTTGTCATTCTCTTGTAGACTTGTTTTGGTTTTTCAATGTAAGTTACAAATAAAAATTCAAAAATAATAAACAATCAGAGGTATCTAAGATATAATCTGGCCGCCTGGTAGCTTATGATTATGATTATTATCCAGATCAACACTATGATTGGCCTTCTGAATCTGATAAACATACATTGCACCATGTAAAGGTTGCTATTTCCTAGGCATATTCTCTTGGCATCTAAATTTTGCCAAAAAATATATATAATCAGTTTTTAAATATTTAATATCTTTTCTTTTACCATAATTGTGCCAAGTTTTTCTGATTATTTTAACTTCAGTTCAGATCTTCCAGCACATGCGTTGATGCCATTCAGACTTCTAAGTCCTCTTCCACGCATTTATCTGGCACTGCCAAATGAAATTTCTGAGCACATCAAATATATAATACAAAAGAGGATAATACTTCATGCTATCAACCAAGATTCGACGAATCAAACTACCTGATGAACAAATTTCTATGCATATACACACGCCATATTCATGTGACGGACCGTGTCTCTAAAATTGTTTTAAAAATTTAATCTCAAAAGCGGAATAAGAATACCCTATTGTAATGACAGAAAAATGCATTTTTCTTTTTATGAAATATCACTAGATAAACGAGTCAAGAACATTATTAATAATTAACTTTATGTTGCTCTTTTCGATATGAATGAGTTAAAGGCCAAGATCAACTACTGTCAATATTTTATGCAAAGGGATCTTTCAGAATTTGAAAAATGCCTCAAATTCATATTTAGATTCGAAGTAAGTTTGGAGCATTTAAATCTTTTTCATTTAGCAGATTTTATTATATCACTTATTTTCGAAATCCAACAACTTCGATATATCACTTGTAGGTACCATATGGGCGATGTTATAGCAGATTTGGGAGTCCAACACCCTATTATTATTTACAGTGAACAAAAAACCGAATCAAACCGGTTGATTCAACCAGAAAACTGATGAACTGGCCAATAGTCCTGTTTGGATTAAGTATTGAACCGGTCACAAGTCGAACCAATAGCAAACCAGTTAAATCGGGAGTGAACTGGTGAAACCAGTAAAAACCGATAATAAATTAATTTGAATAATTATATTGTTATTGATCCTATTTTTCTCATTCAGCTCCTAATATCTCGGTCATTATGGATTTGAATGAATTTTAATAATAATTTTCGTATCAATAATTATTAATTTTAGTTATTAAGGAATTATAAATATCAAAATTCTCAATATTGTTATACTTTATTATTGTTATAATCAAACTATTGTTGTATTTTCTTGTATTTTGTTATTAGTGATTATTATTGTTGTTGTATTTTGTTATTTTTAATTTAATTATATTATTTTAATATAACCGGTTTGATCCTGGTTGGATCTCGATCTGATCCATTGACTTTTGAACCACTGTCTTAATCGGTTTAATATCCAGTCAAGTTTTTTGTTTCTTGATTATTTATGGTACATCCTGATGTTAGTTTTTTGGTGTTTCTATATAAATAAAATTAAGATGCTGCATGTAATTGAAAAACAACATCAGGAGTTGGTAAATGCATCATAAAAATATTATCAAAATACTAGATGTATCTAAAAAATAATATCAGGTGTTAGATGCTCATTCACTCGATTTAAAATTATTGAGCAGGAAATGTTTTCTTCACGATCTTACCTAACACACGTATGATGAATTGAACTTTTATCAATTGTTTTCATATAAAGATTATACATCAAGATATCAAAAAGATCAGATAACAGTTAGGCTCCGTATAAAAAGTACTTGCAACTTTTGCAAATGCAAACTTATTCTAAGAACAGGGGTCCCGTTCCTATTAAATCTGTTTTAATTTAAGCCATCGCATGCCTCTTTTTCTGTAGCTGGCTATGACTTCGCTGCAACAAAAGCTAACCTTTCTGACTGAACTGAGTTGGATGTTAAGTAGGATATTGTACTGAAGCCAAGTTTAGAGACGCATGAGCTAAGCCATTTGAGTGCTTTGATGAATTTCAGGAAGTGGGTCCCACCTCTTTTTGGCAACCAACTCAACTTGCGGTCACCTATCTTGACCCTTTCTGCAAGTTCATGGCTACCCACTCTGTCATTAATCATTAAGCTGCAACACTATAAATTTCTGTTTTTGTAAGGTTATGATCTCTTTTAATTTCTACACTGTGAATTTGTCAAGTTGCTCAAACACTTCTTTCACCTGAACAAGAATTTATTTGAAATCCTACAGAGGCCTCAGCACCAACTTCTTGTGTTATTATTTGAAGATGAAATTGCAATAGACATGTCAAGCTTTGAAACCAGTTATTGTTGATGCAATTGAATGACCACCGTCTTAGGTTTCCAGCATTCTCTAACATCACTTCGATTCATCCTTAAATCATGTAACGTAATCTGCTAGTAGCTACTGCTTCTACAATCAATAGCTTATCGTAGCAGAGCTGTAAACTCTTTCACATAGTAGATAGTTCAAGGCCTAAAAGTTTGAAGTGATAGAGACTCAAAACCTTAGATTTTGTTTCACAGGCATAATAATGCAAAAAGAAATATATTAATGAATTTGGGGATTGAAATATCATTTGGGTTTATGTCAGAATACACGGCCAGTAAGTTATAACAAGCTCATGTGATACTAGATGATGATGCTTTACTAAAAGATTTGAAGTATCATTAGTATCATTTAGCATGAAAGAATGGAGAGATTACGAACCAATTATTTGAGTTCTATATGGTGCTGATATTTGGAAACAAGTGAACCGCATACTATGAAATTCAGAAAAAGTAGCTGTGGCTAAGTGAAGCAATTATCTGTTATTTGCAGATTTCCACATAAACTTGAGCTCTCATATCATGTCTGCATTTTTTGGATGAAAGATGATCTCTTGTCGCGTGTGATTTTATTTAGTGGCCCAAATACAGCAAAGACGGTTGGTTCAAAATTTCTCAAGCAAAGCAACAACAAAAGAAAGTTGATTTATTTATTTCCGATTGATGTTAGATCATCCTTTATCAAACTAAAATACTGAGGAGGAGAGAAATTATACTTTTTAGTTTTTATTATCATATTAGGTTATGAAGTACAAACCATTTAACTCTTTTCTTTTATGTATTATAAAGAATGTCCTCGGATTTGCTGCAATCATTGTTTGGATTCTAATAAATAAAAGCTATGCATAAGCAATTCAACCATCCCAAAATGTGGAAAGCAAAGAAGACAATTTTTTGTAATGAAAAAGAGCAGCTTTTCGTCGACAATTTTTTGTAATACCTTTAATGCAAGAATTGGATGAGATTTGAGGGGAAAATTATGGAAACTTGCATAACGATTTCATATTCAGATGAGTGTTTTCCCTTTCCAAGAACAATCAGAAAAATCCTATACATCATAAGAACTTTCCTACTTTACAAAATTGCGTTGACTTGTCAGTGATCATTGAGCTGTCAATCTAATCTAAACAATAGCTTGTTAGCACCTATTCAAGCGAGAAATTATATTCTCAAAAGCATCTTCAGCGCAAGGAATCGTGAGGCCACCCATAGGATGATCATAACCAAATTCTTCTTCAGCTTGGCTCAGCAAGTCTAGGAAGGAAGGTTGGTTCAAGTATGCTATGGGAATCACAAATCTCTTCATTTTCTCCCCAACATACACTGCAAGAGAGCCTTTTGGCACATCACCGCATTTTGAAGATGTAAGGTTTGCTGAAAAGGAAGCCCTTCTAATACCAGGCAAGCGGAAACCCATTGCTTTATGTTAGGCTGAGAAGGGAATAAAACGGCTGTGTATAAGGAGAAAAAGCTTTGAGTTTTGATGCTTGAGGATGTGAAAGATTTGTGTTGCTCAGAATGCCTGCAAAAATCAGTATATATAGAAGAAAATGTATGTGGGAAATCCATTGGATGTGTGATCACGCTGGGGCCTATTGGCAGACAATAGTTCATAAGTCAGAAGTGGTCACATGTTGTTGTCCTAGACTTGTTTGAAGGGCTGGCAAGCAGGAACCTATCGTTTTCAATTTCTATGTGGTGAAGAACAAGTGAATGATTTCAAAGGACTTCATGGCAAGTATTTGAGGCTTCAAAAATGCTAAAGACACGGGCATCAGAAGATCACATGATAAGGTCTTTGATGTCTTTATCAAAGATCAACAAATAATTTCTGAGACTGAATGGCCCACTTTCACGAACAACAGCCAACATGGTCGACACTTATTAATGCTTGTCCTACAAATCCTCAAGAATCAAGGCCTCCCATATGTTATTCCATATCAATGAGGTACACACAGAAGCATTTAGATAAGGCTTCGAAACTGTCAGCAAGTTTTGTGATAGTGAAAGTTGAGTCCTTTAACATTGTTCTCCCGTAGGCTGGCTAGCAACTGAAATGGGCTTTACCAAGAAGCATGGACTTGAAGCAATCATACGGCACTGTCTTTAATCTCTTTATCAAAAATCAACAAATGATCCGAGGAGTAAGAATGCTTGCCCCTACATCATAGGCCTCTCTGTTCCTCCACACAAAGGCATGAAACCTGGGCCGGCTTAATTGCCCAGATGATATTTTAGGCGACTTATGAAATCAAAGGAAGCCAAAAGGAAAATTAAAAAATAATAATAATAATAATGAATGACTTTAAATGAGATTTTGAATTTGGTGATCGACTCTTTATTAACTGCTGATACAGTCATTCAATAACTCTTTCAAATTTTTGCAGAAAAATGCAGAATAGAATATAATTTGGTTTCTAGAGTCTATGCAAATATTCATTAAATTGGTCATATGTTTTATAACTAACTATATTATTCATGAAGTTGTTCAGTTATAAGTTTTATTAGAAAAAATATGAACCTATTCACAGAACTAAGATGAGCCCAAATCAGCCTCACATTTCCACCGAGATTTACTCATCGCCAATTGAAAACTTGAGGACCAGTATCTATGCTTTTGCCACCCTTCATCCTCACATACCCATACCCTCGTACTCACACGGAGAAAATGATGTTTTGTACCAATGGCCTTCAAAAAAACCAGAGCTCTCTTTGTGGTATGCTTGCTGGTTACAATGGCCAATGTCGGAGACGGCGGCGAGGTCGTATTTGACTGTAAAGAGCAATGCGTGCCGGTTTGCATGAAAGAGCAGGGTGCCACTATACCTGCTTGTGAGTCAGCATGTAAAGACTATTGCATGCAAATTTCGCAGAGGTCTGAGATTTTTGGTTAGTCATCTTCAATAACGAGCATGCCAACGTTGGAAACAGAACTTGATATTGCTACACTTGATTCATCTCAACCTTAAATAACCTTATTCCTGAGTTTATGAATTTATTAACAATGGAGCATCATCTCATTGGGGAACCTTGCCGTTTGGTTATTTTTGAACGATGCATGCAAAATTTTTGGTTATGATAGCTGATAAGTGAGCCAAATAATAGCATTACTTCCATCCTTTAATTGTAAGAATAATTTTGGTTCAGTGTTGTGGTGTTTTCAATTATAAGTGTCAATGTCTCATTACAAAGCTTCAGGAATAATTAAAATAGTTTTCCTTGACATGCTTCTCATAAATGGTGACATTTAATTGAAATTGAAAAAAATGGAATTTAATTTAATTCAAGGCGAATTTAGAAAGAATAATCAAATTTTTACACTTAATTTAATCAGATCAAAGAAAGTTTTTAATCTATTATGTATTCTATGGAAGATTTTGAATCTGCACCTTCCTCCCTGCGAAAGTTCGCGATAGAGTAATGCTGGTCCTTGATCCTTCTAGAGGTTGCCGGTTGAGTATAGAATTTTCGCTTTTTCACCTAAAAAGCTTTTATTAATTGTTGGGAAAATTATTTATTTATTTAGCAATTATTTATTTCACCCTGTAAATATAATGAACTAAAATACCGTACCCGCCTGAACCGCCCCATTCTCCTTTCTCCTACCGTGCGAGCGGTCGGCTACTCTGCAACCTTTTCTTTTACCCACAAGCGCACGTACCAACTCGTCTTTTCATCAATGGCTGCCGCTGCACCGCCACCGCCACCGACTCCGGCGCCGGTGGAAGCAATGCCAGAGCCAACGCCGGTGGCTCGCCCACTCTTCTCCCGCGTGCGTCTGGCCACCCCCCTAGACGTCCCTCACATCCACAAGCTCATTCACCAGATGGCCGTGTTCGAGCGCCTTACCCATCTCTTCTCTGCTACTGAGTCCTCTCTCTCCTCCACTCTCTTCAATTCTCAGCCATTCCACTCCTTCACCATCTTCATCCTCGAAGTTTCCCCCAACCCATTCCCTGAATGGAACTTCAATCCATTCCACAAACCGTCTGTTCAGGTTGTGAATCTGGACCTTCCGATTGATGATCCGGAGAGAGAGACGTTCAAATCGGAAGGCGATGATGTTGTGGTTGCTGGGTTTGTGCTCTTCTTTCCCAATTACTCCACGTTTCTCGCTAAGCCTGGGTTCTATATCGAGGATTTGTTTGTGAGAGAGTGTTACAGAAGGAAAGGGTTCGGGAAAATGCTGCTTTCGGCGGTCGCGAAGCAAGCGGTGGAGATGGGGTATGGAAGAGTGGAGTGGGTCGTGCTTGATTGGAACGTCAATGCCATCCAGTTTTATGAGGATATGGGAGCCAAGATCTTGCAGGAATGGAGGATTTGCAGGTTAACTGGCGAGGCCCTCCAAGCTTACGGAAATGCTGACTAATTTTTAACCCGCTTATACTGTGTTAATCTGTTTCGAGTTGATTTCCCGTTGAGGACAGTGTTTGAAATCGAGTTTGAATGGCTGAATTTAAGGTTACTTTTACTTTTAGGAGCTCAGTTTGAGATGTTAGCCCGGTAACTATCTTCGAGAGTTTGCTTTAGCTTCTTTATCAGCTGTAAAATGACTAAAATCATCACACTTTTTTGATACCAACGATAACTTTCTCCCACGATCACCAATCCAATTTCTTGCCGTTGTTGAGATTCATCTTCAATCCACGTCTTGCAGAGATCAAACAGTGCTTGTAGACACTACTGATAATGGCGGATCAGTGTCTTGTTATCCGTGTCACCTTGCTTTATGAATTATGACTTGAGAGCACTTCACCATAAAATGGAGGACTAAACCCAATAGCTTGTTCTTTCCGGTCAACTAAGATGATGTTTGGATAAAAATTAAAATCATCGTTTTAGAACTAATTTTATGGTATGCAAAATATATTTAGTTAATATACAGATGAGTTTGTCTTGATTTATAAAAAAAAAAAAAATTAAAAATACTTTTATATACATCCAAACACTTTTTTGGATTGGATCATCACTTTTCTGGTTGTTTTGTTGTCACAATATGTTGTTCTTTTAATATTTTAATATCTTCGATCATCTTATCAGCTATGCATAATCCACACTCTTTCATGGATATATCAACATAGGAACAGAGTCTTCAAAATCTTCTGTCTGCAAACTTTCTTTTTTAAACGCATAGAAATCCTCCAATAGGAGGTACCGTCGTCGACCGTAAACATGAACACCTCGTTTAGTAATATTTAAGTTGTATTTTTTGTCCAACTCAGACTTTGTTTCATGAGATTTCTGCTCAACATTTCATCTATGCTCTTCCTTTTTTATGCTGTTAGGCGGTGCATTTGAGCGTGTTGTACAAAAAAGCCCAATTCTTTTTGGTAAATAAAAATTTAGGTAAGTTAGTTTTCAAGAGTTTTTCAAGATCACAGGTAGGGGTGTTCACGGGACAGGACCGGGACAGGCCCGTCCCGGTGAATAGGGACGGGACAGGGTTTTAGTCCCGTGTCCGGTCCCGTCCCGGTTTTGTCCCGGTCCCGTCGGGACCGGGACGGGACGGGACGTCCCGTTCCCCTCCCCTTTTTTTTTTTTTTAAAATACTATAATTTTTTATATGAAATTTTTTTATGTTATAATGCTTATTTTTTGTTAGGCTTTTAAAGATAAAAACATTATAAAAAATATTATGTAGAAAACTCAATTATATAGTATAAAAAAGGTGTAAAAACAATACTGTAAAAAAAAATACGATAAAAGAAACACTATATAATGGCTTTATGAATTATTTTATTGAGGAAGGAGATATTGTTCAGATAATATTACAACTTAAGAGTTAAAAATCACTATAATAATAATTATTATTATTAATAAGTAAATTGAATAATCTACTAATAATTATTAATAAATAATTTTAAAAAAAAATATCCCGAGACGGGACGGGACGGGACAACCCCGTCCCGCGTCCCGTCCCGTCCCGGTCACTGTCTCGTCCCGTCCCGGTCACTGTCCCATCCCGTCCCGTACTTGTCCCGTTCCGAATTTTTTTTTGTCCCGTCCTGTCCCGTCCCGAACTCACCGGAACCGGGACAGGACGACCGGGACGGGACAAATTGAACACCCCTAATCACAGGTATCAAATTTGTTGGCAAAAGAAATTCAAATTGGCGGTTCATTAGCCAAAAATTTTGTCATCCCTCCAAGCTTTGACATATTTCCACAAAATCATAAACAAAGTGGAAATTGAAGACCGAATGCATCTTCCCAAAAATACCGTAAAGTTCATCATCTATTATTCTTTCGCGGAAGAACAGAAAAAATGAAACAACTTATGAAACAGGGTAACGCCAGAAATGAGATTTTGAATTTGATGATCGACCGAGTCTTTATTGATTATGGTCCGATCATGCTTGTTTTTATTATGATATGAAATATCTCTATAGTCTAAATCGAAGTTTAAAAACATCATATAATTTTTGCTCTCATGATTTTTAGCTTCGTTTTTTGCTGCCCTGCGTTGTTCATTTGCCATCATTATTCTTCTTCATATTTCATATTTAATTATGGTAAATGTTTTAGAAAAAATTATTTGCATTATATTGTGTGAGTGAGAGAGGGGGAGGAGGGCAGAGAAAGAAAAATATTTAAAAAATTAAAATAACTCTTGAAAAATTATTAGTAACAAGCAGTGGAAGATAACCTGCCTAATGTTACAGATAGAAAACCTTGAATACCCGCGAGTATTCTCCCCCCCCCCCCAAAAAGCGTACCAAGTAATAATAAGCAAAGTTCAATTAAACACTTAAATTATTCTTCATGCTAAAATTCGATATAAATAGCACGCATAGTAAAAAAAAATGATATAATTGCATCTCAAACCTAGCACTAATTAAAAACATAAATAAATAAGAACGAAAATAGTATGAAAAAAGCCTAATTAATATAAACTTGCTATATAATTTAATGATATAAACATGTAGATGAATGAAATGCTCATCTATATTTGATGGGTTGAAAATATACTAAAATACAATTAAAATAATTAAAATGACACAAAAAAAAACTTACAATAACTATTGCACTTCCCTTCTGGACACATCATGAAACTTCTTTCATACTTAAGTCATGCTAACTTTGTGAATTTTCATACTTTGTCACGTGTACAAGCTTCTATGGGTTTTAACTGTATAAATAGACCTATGCATCAATTAAAAAATTCAAAAAAAAATATGTATATGTACACGTACACATGTAGACCTAAATAGACAGGGTTAAGGCTTTATTTGGACCCCCGCTATGCATACCAATATTATGGGCTTTTAAGGTCGCAAATTAAAGTTGAAGTGCTCTCTTTGTCCCTTTGATTCTTCTACTTCTTATTGGGCTTGTAATTGTAAGGCCTTCAATGTCATGTAAAGTATTTTGAGACTATTTAGACATAGGAAAAATGACCAAAAAAGGTTAAAAATTTGTAAATACTATCTCTGGTTTTAATTATAAGAACTAGTTGACTAATTTAAAAAAATAAAAAAAATTAAATTAGTTATTTGTAATAAATATGTGTTGTTTTTCCTAAAATACCTTTGCTAATCAAGTATACTGGCTAGAACTACCATTGTTAGAAGGATTATCTTGGAAAAAAATGTTTAAATGTGAAAGACAAAGTAGATTGAGTTCTTATACTTAGGACCAAAATAAAAGTCAAACAAGGTCTTATATTAAGGATCGAAGGTAGTATCAAATAAAGAATGTCAACAAAAATTTATTGGCATTTACAAATTCAGTGTTGTCAATACCAAATAGTAATTTTCAGTTTTTTTTTTGCCATTCTAACTTACTTTGGTTTTTCAATGTAAATTACAAATAAAAATTCAAAAATAATAAATAATCAGAGGTATATAAGGTATATTCTGGCCGCCTGGTAGCTTATGATTATGATTATTATCCAGATCAACACTATGATTGGCCTTCTGAATCTGATAAACATACATTGCACCGTGTAAAGGTTGCTATTTCCTAGGCATATTCTCTTGGCATCTAAATTTTGCAAAAAAATATATATAATCAGTTTTTAAATATTTAATATCTTGTCTTTTACCATAATTGTGCCAAGTTTTTCTGATTATTTTAACTTCAGTTCAGATCTTCCAGCACATGCGTTGATGCCATGCAGACTTCTAAGTCCTCTTCCAGGCATTCATCTGGCACTGCCAAATAAAATTTCTGAGCACATCAAATATATAATACAAAAGAGGACAATAATTCATGTTATCAACCAAGATTCGACGAATCAAACGACTTGATGAACAAATTTCTATGCATATACACACGCCATATTCATGTGATGGGCCGTGTCTCTATCATTGTTTTAAAAATTTAATCTCAAAAGCGGAATAAGAATACCCTATTGTAATGACAGAAAAATGCATTTTTCTTTTTATGAAATATCACTAGATAACTGAGTCAAGAACATTATTAATAATTAACTTTATGTTGCTCTTTTTGATATGAATGAGTTAAAGGCCAAGATCAACTACTGTCAATATTTTATGCAAAGGGATCTTTCAGAATTTGCAAAATGCCTCAAATTCATATTTAGATTCGAAGTAAGTTTGCAGCATTTAAATCTTTTTCATTTAGCAGATTTTATTATATCACTTATTTTCAAAATCCAACAACTTGGATACATCACTTGTAGGTGCCATATGGGCGACCTTATAGCAGATTTGGGAGTCCAACACCCTATTATTATTTACAATGAACAAAAAATTGGATCAAACCGGTCGATTTAACCAGAAAACTGATGAACTGGCCAATAGTCCTGTTTGGGTTAAGTATTGAACCGGCCACAAGTCGAACCAGTGGCAAACCAATTAAATCGGGAGTGAATTGGTGAAACCAGTAAAAACCGGTAATAAATTAATTTGAATAATTATATTGTTATTGATCCTATTTTTCTCATTCAGCTCCTAATATTTCAGTTATTATGGATTTGAATGAATTTTAATTATAATTTTCGTATCAATAATTATTAATTTTAGTTATTAAGGAATTATAAATATCAAAATTCTCAATATTGTTATACTTTATTATTGTTATAATCAAACTATTGTTGTATTTTCTTATATTTTGTTATTAGTGATTATTATTGTTGTTGTATTTTGTTATTTTTAATTTAATTATATTATTTTAATATAACCGGTTTGATCCTGGTTGGACTTCGGTCTGACCCATTGACCTTTGAACCACTATCCCAACCGGTTTAATGTCCAGTCAAGTTTTTTGTTTCTTGATTATTTATGGTACATCCTGATGTTAGTTTTTTGGTGTTTCTATATAAATAAAATTAAGATGCTGCATGTAATTGAAAAACAACATCAGGAGTTGGTAAATGCATCATAAAAATATTATCAAAATACTAGATGTACCTAAAAAATAATATCAGGTGTTAGATGCTGATTCACTCGATTTAAAATTATTGTGCAGGAAATGTTTTCTTCACGATCTTACCTAACACACGAATGATGAATTGAACTTTTATCAATTGTTTTCATATAAAGATTATACATCAAGATATCAAAAAGATCAGATAACAGTTAGGCTCCGTATAAAAAGTACTTGCAAGTTTTGCAAATGCAAACTTATTCTAAGAACAGGGGTCCCGTTCCTATTAAATCTGTTTTAGTTTAAGCCATCGCATGCCTCTTTTTCTGTACCTGGCTATGACTTCGCTGCAACAAAAGCTAACCTTTCTGACTGAACTGAGTTGGATGTTAAGTAGGATATTGTACTGAAGCCAAGTTTAGAGACGCATGAGCTAAGCCATGTGAGTGCTTTGATGAATTTCAGGAAGTGGGTCCCACCTCTTTTTGGCAACCAACTCAACTTGCGGTCACCTATCTTGACCCTTTCTGCAAGTTCATGGCTACCCACTCTGTCATTAATCATTAAGCTGCAACACTATAAATTTAAATCAAACACCACTAAGGCTTCATCTTCATCAATCAACACCAAAATCTTTCACACAGTTCAATCCACTTCCCTCCAAGAGTTTGGATCTCTCTCTCTCTTTTAGAGTAAGGCCAGTGATTATGGGTATCCGTCTTCCTTCCATGATGCTTGGAGCAAAGCAAATCCTCAAGTCACAGCATCTTCATAGCAGAAACCACTCCAATGTTCCCAAGGGGCATATAGCAGTTTATGTTGGCGAGTTTCAGAGGAAGAGATTTGTTGTTCCAATATCATACTTGAACCATCCTTCATTTCTTGACCTGTTGAATAGAGCTGAGGAAGAGTTTGGCTTCAATCATCCAATGGGTGGCCTCACAATCCCTTGCAAAGAAGATGCATTCATCAATCTTACCTCTCAACTGCAAGCTTCATGAAAGATTACCATTTCCGTTTTTGATGACTGAATCAATCCCCTTTTTCTTCCCTCTACGGGTTTTTCTTCTATCTACATTCTTGTCAGAGATAGAAGATTCCTTTTTTCACTTTGTATAAATTTCCTCTTATTTTTCGGCTTTTTATTTTTGCTTTTGCTTGGATCTATAAGCATTGCTTTTGCTTGGATCTATAGGCAAAGTCTCCGTTAACAAATGTAACCTCTGCTCCTCTAATTAAATACAACTGATCTCTTAATTTTCTTCTCAATTTCAGATATGAGGTAGTTGGGAACTCACATGGACCAATTTTCCCACTTTTTCCACCCTATAATTTTCAGTTTTAAAATGGGCAAAATGAAAGGTCTTAATAAAATTATAAGCATCTGAAGGGCTAAATCGAGTTTATAGGTTGGATGGTGGATCAGAAGAGAGAACTTGCGTATCAAAATCATTTAAAATAATCACATAGCTAAGTTTTCTTTACAGTCTACATATGAAGTTCTTGCCAAACTGGTAGTAATATCATATGCATTAGCATCTCTATAGTCATAAATTTATATGATCCGCATTGCAAAGACCTTGGCCATATCTGCAGGCAAATCACAAGGGACCGGCGACGTCCATGGTGGAAGTCCTTGCTCATCACAGTGAAATTTGCTGAGACATTTTCACACTCTCCACTCCTTGCTTCAGCATAGTAGAAGGTTTGGTCTGCTTTCGTTGGTTTACATCACTTGTGGAATAATTCCATTAGGATAAGGGAAATATCAACTTCTAGTTGACAAATTATTAAGCTGGTGGCATGAATAGGAAGGCTGAGCAGGAACCCTGGTCTATCTAAGGTTAAAAAAATCAGACAACCAAGTTGTCTTCTAGGAATTTACATGTGTACTCTTAATCCAACGACAGATTGCCAGTTCGAATGTTTCGTTGTTGAAGACTGATACTTTTGCCAAGTCGTGACTGTGATAAGCTCAAGTCACCTGGCTTTCCACTGAAAGGAGATGCAAGTTTTGGCTGCAGCCATTTTCTCAAAGTTACTCCACTAATTCTGATCTTTCCAAATGATTCATTGCCCTGGTATGGTATTCTCAGCCTTCTCAACATTGCTGCAACTGCCTGGCCAGCCCTGTCAAACCAAAAACATTGCATACGGGCCATGAAAATATCTTGACATTGTTTTTTGAGTCATTATAGAAAAGAAAATATCAATTTCATTATTTCTGAACATATTATAGAATACGTAATCAATTAATTAATTTTATTAATTATATGATATCAATTTTGTAATATTACATTACTAATGCATAACTCGATTTCAATATTTATGATATTAAATTTATCATATGAATTTTTTATTTTTTTTTTTGCCATTTTATTCCATAATCCCGCGCAATGTGGGCCAATTTCTAGTTAAAGTGAAAAAATGGAACAAGTTCAAACAAGGATGCCTTCAGAAAGTCTTTTATTAGAGCTATTGTGCATTATCTGGACATCTGTGACTGCTGTCTTGTTAAAATATGGTGGAAGTAAGAACAGGAAATACAGAATTCAGGGCAAACAACACAGTAATTGATAGAAGCTGAATATTTGGATCACTGGTAAAACAGAATGCAGGCTCTATTGCATAAAAGAAATTCAGTCAAACCAGAAGGTAAGCAACACACAAAGAGAAGGTTCTAGCACTTCAAGGATTCTTCGACTTGCTTATGAAAATTCGATCCGAGACTTAATTTCATAATAAGATATTTCGAAGATATTCATTGCATAAATTCATGTCACCATATGCAGTAAGCTATAAAACATGAACACATGTAAAAAGGAGCCACATGTATATCTGACACATGTCAACACTTTTATCAGGCATGAAGCAACACTAGACATAACTATGGACATTTGAAAATTCATCACGTTGCCCCGTCTGTTGCAATCTCTTTGCTTCTTAGACATTAAGTGATATGTGATCATTAAAATGGACTTGACAAAACGTAGATGATAGTTGATCATGAAATTTCACGTGTAGAACATCTAGTAATATCAGCCTAAATATGATTAATAATTTTTTCTCGAGTTTTTTATATACATACTGATAAATAGTAGGAACTTCTAGCTCAATAGATTTCGTTAGTAGTTCATACTTGCATGCTTGAACAAAATGAACCGTAGCAGATGTAAGGCACCAACATTGAAACTAGAAAGAAAGTTTACTAAGAATGAACTTGCAATTGATAACTCTCACCTTCCTGAAACGCTAATAAGTTTCTCCCCCTTGGAAGTTGGAGCTTTTGTTTTCTCTACAGGCAATAAGATATTTAAGTTGGGTAACTTAGCTCCTGCAGAAGATTTCAGACAAAGAATGAGGAAAGCAGTCCGTTGTCTGGAAGAAATGGATAGTTCCAGGAGTACTGCCACTATAGAGCTCTATTGACATAAATCCTCATACAGATAGAAGATGCAGCAATGAAAAATATAAAGTGCACATGTTCAGTAAATAAAATAATGCATGCCAGTATCATCATCCTTCACCACACGTTCCTTCTCAATGAACTGTTTGAATATTAAAAGTAAATATTATTGACTTCAGAACAAGAAGGCAGGAGATCGCGAGTTCAAATTGGCAGACCAAACGGGGCCAAAAAAAGGCATGAAAAGAGCTCAATAACACATTACTATTCCCTTTAGAATTTACAATTTCTTTTTGATAGATAATACGAATCAAAAGCCAAAGGAGAAGGTGAAATTATCATTAAAAAACTCTTCAGGTGCTTTAGCTTTTCATGTTTTCCCATTAATTCAAAATTGAAACCATCAATCAATCCCGCATAAGAATCAGAAACAGAAACAAATGGAAAAATGACAAGAGGAAACATCATTTTATAAAGGACAACTTTACAGAAACTCTAATAATCAAATAGTGATGCGATGATGTTAAAATAGAACACATTACCTGCTGCAAGCCGATGCTTGAGACCCTTCAAAACAGTTAAGAGGTATACCTGGTAAAATTTTAAGTGCTTTTAGATAGGGTGGTTTAACAATTTTGGCATCATGTATATCTAGCTTCTGCATGAGCCCACACGTTCACAATTGCACGTTTGTGCGTGCATTTGTTATGCATAGAAAAAGCGTGCAACTAAAAGTTAAGAAAATCATTGCACATTTATTTAGCAGATTAGTACATTGTTATCATGGAGGAAAAGGTAGATATGTTTTTCTTCCACACAAACATAAATAAATAAATAAAAGGAGGTGACTATGAGATAAAACTTAAGGATACTGCACAAGGCACACAATCACAGAACATTTGCTTGAACAACAAGTGAATTGGTACCAATGAGTGTAACTAGAGAACAATTATGGCCATTGAAATGGTCAACTACTACTTATACCCCTCTAATAGATACAGTGATGAATAGAAAAGGGGGGAAAATCCTTCTGCGCATAAAAATGTATTTATCTTATCCGTAATCATATGTAAAATGATTCTGTTATAATTTTATTAAATATATCTTTTTATTAAAAATGCAAACTTTCATGTAACAGTCGTTGCTATTGCACCAGCATTTAGAAAGAAGAGCTCACCTCAGCGGTAAAATAGTGCAATTCCTTTAAATTCGCAACAATAGGATTCACTTTAAAAGATACAAATGGAACAATTCCAAGAGAAGCAGCCTCCTACAAAATAATTACGGCATAATGTAATGGTTCAGGATCTGTTTGCAATACTTAGGAGCAAGGATGTGTGTAGAACTAGAAACTTCAGCTTCTTACTGACCTCAAGTAGCGAAAAAGCACGAGGATCATATTCACCAAATCCATCAATCAATGAACAGAGGTTTGAGCATTTTGAAGTTTCAGCACTAACTCCCAGATTCTCAATAAGATTATTTTTCAAAGAGGCATCGTAAGGGAGTTTCAGGCATCCAAAAATTTGTGACAGGATTTCACTAGTAGTCATTGTACCATCTCTAATCATCTCACGATACACCATTAAGGCCAGTGATGTCCTAAGAGCAGAAATCCGAATAAATTAATGAAGAAAATCATCTACAAGAGTAGCCTTAGGCCTTGGCTAATTAACAGTCATAATGAAAAAGGAAGCTGATCATATCCAACAAAAATATATACTTTTCTTACCAGACAGGGAGTACATAAATTTGAAAAGATAGATAATGTCAAAATCAAATAAATAGGTGTAAAAATGTGGGGTCTTCGAGATCCAAACTAGTATTCTACATATACATGAACTCAGAAATGATATGATATATCTTCCCTCATTGCCAGTGATGACAAAGAATCAGGCTTAACAGGGAAAAAATTGCAGACTTTGAGGAATGAATACCATTTATTATTAACATGTGGTTGTCTGGAGTCAAAAGATAAACCAGGTTCACCAACATTGCAATCCCTCTCATATCTCCTCAAGCACATCCCTTTCAAAGACATCAAAATTAAATCAGAATATGTAAATCAAGGAATTCTCCACAATAAATGCACGTACAGTTTTAGTTTAAAATAACCAAAAATGCATAGAGATCTAAGGGCTCAACCCATGAATAACAAGCAGCAAGTCACACAGCTCATGATTTCAGTGTTAGCCAACATCTATCAATAATGAATAAATAGATTATTCATTTGAAAAAATGGGGAGCGATGAGAGTTCATCATGACTCCAGAATCTTTCGGAGGGTATTGATAGGAATACTTCTCAGTTCCAGTTCTCCCAGTCTAGCAGACTAGAGCTAGATACAAGTAGCTTCATCAAATTTGTGCATAACATCCATTCTCATTTCTTTGTTTTTGGTCCCCATTGATATAAACATCTCAATGAACAACACTTCAGCGAATTTTCTCTAAAACCATTTTTTTATTATAAATTTTCCTTAAAAGTAAGGATAATAATCTTTTAGCTAAAACTAGGGGGCAGGCTGAGGATCTAATATTTCAGAGCACAAACAACTTGCCTATAGAGCAATTATCTACCAATATTTTAGCATTGTCTTACCATCCATGGAAGTTTTGGAATTCATACCAAATAAAAACAATATTTTAAGAAACTTTTTTAGATGTCTTCAAAGCAGTGAAAAAAAATGATTTAGCTGGCAAAGAAAATAAAGGTCTAGAAGTAAAAATTACTCAAACTCGGTCACTCACCGATTATACATTTACGCATGACAGGGTTATGGGAAACACCATCCATTTTGGCTTGAGATAGGAGCATTTGAGCAGCTTCTAGATCGTCCTTTCTACATGGGAGAAGGCACAACAGAAAATTAGTTGAAAAAGGTCCACAAATATTAGACAATGAAATCTTCTCAGATCACTTACTTCTCGCTTGCTACTATAAGTATTGAGTACGTGATGCTGTTTGGGCATAGGCCCAATTCTTTCATTTCAGACAAAACCTCCATAGCCTTGGGAAATTGATCCCCATCACCTGTAGGAAACACTCACAACACTAAGAACCAAGTATGTAAATCAAACAGCAATACTGAAACAACATAAAAAAGCAGGACAGGACAAATGACCCAGCAGCTCTGAAACTTTTTTTGTCCCCCCCCCCCCCAAAAAACCAAAAAAACCCCCGGGGGGGGGGGGTTGCTTGTGAGAAGTAACCATGCTGCAGTGGTAAAGCAGAACTGTTATCAAATATCATTTTTCTTGCTAACCCAAAATCGAATGTGGGTACAAAATTCTTCAATCAAAGTTAAAATATTTTTGCATTTTCCAACACTCATGTATCTTCTCTTCATGCAAAGTCACAACTATAGAACAAAATGTGTTCTTTTTTATTTGATTCTATCTTGGAAGAAGAACATAATTCAATCCATAAACAATGATACCTAAACGGCAGGATTGGCTTGTAATTATCCGAACAAATTTCCTTTTACTATATAGTGTCACCCTTTATAGTGGAGGACGGTGAAATTAATGGAGACATTTCTCATAGACTACAAGTTGAGTAGTCAAAGTAGAGGAAGGCTACCGGAGTTATTTGTGATAAAAAGATACCTAAGAAGCTTAAGGGAAAATTCTATCAGACTACTATAAGACCAACTGCATTATATGATAGTGAATGTTGGGCCTTAAAGGAAAAAAAAGAGCACAAAGTTTGAGCAGTAGAAATGAAGATGTTGAGATAGATGTGTGGTCATACAAAAAAAAAAAAAAAGATTCGAAATGAAAATATCAGAGCAAAAGTGGGTGTGGTGCCTATCGAAGAGAAAATGGCTGAATATCGTTTGAGGTGGTTTGGACATATGCAAAGAAGGCCATTGGATGATAAGGGTAGATTAGATAGTTTGGAACCCTTCAAAAAGGTGTAGGGGAAGACTGGGGAGGACACAACCTTGTGATTAACAACATATCTACAGACTTGGTTGTTGACAGAACACAATAACGTCATGCGATCCATGTAACTAACCTCACCTAGTGGGATAAGGCTTGTTGTATATAGTTTCATCCTTATCATAGTTGTCACTATCAGTAAACTATAGTAAGAAGTGCAGAAAACATTTCAACTTACAGAGTGCAGTGATCAAAGCATTCACTGTTGAAACACTATGTACCAAATTACGGGACTTGAGATCCTTATATAGCTCCAATGCTCTCTCCCAATTTCCAGCCTGGAGTAAACATTAATTACGCAGGTCAGTACCACATTTTTTAGCATTATGAATTCAATGCAGCAGAAGAACAACAGAGAAAACCAAAAATGTGTTGGAAAATGCGAATGAGGTTCTGCTTTGACTCAGACCATACTTATATTCCCAAGCTATTAGTTTATCAAAGTATTTTTCTCAGGGTTCTGAACTTCAGAAAGCTTAGATTCACGTTTCTTCAAATTCTAGCTTCACGTTTATTCGAATGAACAAGAAACCCTAACAGAAAAACCAAGCATCTTAATTTCCACTGTAAAGATAATATCCTGTGTAGAAGGGAATGTCTGAAAGAATTAATTTCACTTATACAAGGAAAAAAAAATTATATACATATACATATAGCAGGAGCCTCTATAATTATGGCTCGTTATTATTCCGATCCATATGATTATGCCATCCATATGATTACAATGTCTACAGTAAATGAAAGAATGCTTCCTAACCCGAACACCGGAATCCACTTACATTTGTTAACTAAAATTAAATACTAGAATACTAGAAACCCTAAGAATTATGTTATGGTTATATCATAAATATAACTAATCCCCTGGAAGAATCACTAATGTATACATCTTTAAACAATTAAATCTCCCCCCACCTTATGTTAGTAATGATTCAAATAAAATGAAATATTTTGTTCAATGTCCTCCAATAGTGACTCAAAATTCAAACTCTAATCCGCTCTAACAATACGATGCATCCCTACTCTGTTTCAGTCTCCTTTACCTCCATTGTAGGCTGGCTTCAATGCTTGATCTAGAATTCTAGATCTAAATCCAAACTATTATGCCTTTACCACGCTCAGTACCCAATCTTCCGCACGATACGCTATAGAACTGCCCTGGGTATAACCAGACTCGTGTACAGTGTTTTTTCAAGTATAGGCAAACCTCACTGTTTCTTAACCACAGAAAACCAGGAAAAATGGATATACAGACTTGATTGCAGGTGCAAGATTGGCTTTAGAGGGAAGAGACAAAGTTTATTAACAATGCATGCGTGAAACACAAGTTGATAGTTTGGAATATGCTCATTTATTTTTAGTTTAATTTCACTGATTTCTTATTTCAACATCGCAGTCCATAACACGCTCGGTAGACAGAAGGTCATTTCTATTAACCCACTCAAGCAGAAAATTTCCTTGATCATACATACATTGCTGCAGGCTCCCATCAAAGTGCTGTATAACATTTTTCCACCATGAATTCCTCTCTTACGAGCTTCTTGTAGGACTTCAAAGGCAGCATCTAGCTTTCCAGCATGTCCAGCAAAATCTATTAGTGCACTCAGAAACATCTGCATGATCATATTTACCAAAAAAAAAAAAAAAAGAGACAGAGAGATAAATTGACGTTATTGAGGAGAAAACTCTAACTGCAAGAATCCGCTCCATATCCCGCCACAAAAACAAAAGATCTTAATTATCTTCTGAAACCATAAAAGATGCTAATTATTCAGTCTCTGAAGGAAAAATGCTAGCAAAGTACCTCATCTGGGAAAACCCCTTTCCCAATCATGTCACTGTATACACTACATACAAATTCCCAGTCTCCAGTTTGGCTGCAAGAATTGATAGCAATAGTGTAGACCTCTGGCGTTCCCTTTATACCATATTGGTCTAACAACTTGTACACTTGTCGTGCTCTTTCAACCTAGAGAAAGAACATTTCTTTGATATGAGGTAATGTACCATGAAGAAATACACAATATACATAAGAATATTTTTTAAAAAATGATGACCCAACATTAACCCACCCATTGATGCATACCAAGGAAAAGAAAACAGAGAAAGAGAGAGAAACTACACCTGACCGGCATTTGCACATGCCTTCATTAATGCACCAATTGTTATGTGATCTGGTTCAATAGGTTGCAATTCTGCAGCCATTTCTGCTAAAACATCAAAAGCACGATCCACTGCTCCTGACTGAGCACATGCAGCTATAAGGGCATTGAATACAACACGGTCTGGCTTCAATTTCTACTGCATACAAACATCATATGAACATGTAAATTAATTGATATTAAAGTCAGATATCATGCAACAATCTCTGCCGGCAAAGAAGAGGACTTGGGACTTTGGATAATCAACGAATATCACTGAAGATGAAAATTTCCAAAGCATCATGTTGCAATTGATTTACCTTAGACCTCAATATCCCATAAGCACCAAATGCTTTAGCAACTTGCCCAGCTCTAGCACAACCATCAATAAGCGCCCCATAGGTATAAACATTAGGTTCGATTCCAGAATTAACCATATTGTGAAATACCTGAATATAAGAATAAGCGCATTAACTAGATAAAGTGCTTAGAAAAAGATAAATCACCACATTATGGTAACCAACCAAAATTTCTAAGAAAGAAGATGTCATACCTCAAACATCTGATCAACTTCACCACTCTTAGCATATGTTGATATCAAAGTGGTATAAAGTTTGCAATCAGGTTTGAATCCAGCCCCCTGAACAAGCTGCAGAACTTGGAAAGCCCCTATTTACATACACAATTCCAATCTCATGAACTGAAAACAGATTAAATGTAAGAGCACATACAAAGAACATTATATAGGGAACCTATGAGCTAAGTAAAAAGATGATGAAAAATGAACTTACCTTCTGAATCTTGAGCACTTGAACACACGGACATAAGCATATTAAATGTGCTCAGTTTTGGATTTGGAACAAGCTTAATGTACTCAAAAGCTTCTCTAACAGCCTTTTGTCTCTTGCAGATGTTAAAAAACTTTGCATGATAAACCTATGTCCAGTAATTTGAGTACATGAGAAACTAAAAAATGAAGGTAATATCAAGTAACAGCTTGAATGATGCATATACCTTAGTCATATCTAAAATTCCCTTCATTTCCATGTCTTTAAGCAATTCAACACAGTCATGTAACCTAACAAATTCAAGGAACTTTGGGGTAAGCTCTTCAGGCATAAAAACTAGAGCAAAAGAAGGTTAGCATGCACATCATCTTCAATTATATGATAGACACGAGATAAAGGATAAGAATTTGACATCACTGTTTTGTTTAAAACCTGTAGGGATATAATTAAAACATACTTGAACAAGCAATACTCTAAAAGAAAAGCATATGCCCTGTAGTATTTATGTGAGGGATAAGAGATTACCTTCCATCTTTTAGCAAAGAATTATATGATCTAAGATGCTGAGAATGACGATTTTTCTGATCAACATGCTCCCTGATTGACTCAGAATTCTGGGGAAGAAGTTCGTCACTTCTCTGATCCATATTGGTTTTCCCCCTGTTGCCCAGAGATCTGTTTCGCTTCTTAAAAGAATAACTTCCATTTTGGTGGGGATAGCCTTCTTTGTGACTGGCTCTTGGTCCCGCTCCTTCAACATTCTCTAACTCTAATTCAACAAACAGTGTATGACAAAATTAGCTCCAAATTTTAAACAGCCCATCTTGATATTGTATAATTGTTTGCTCATCTATACTATCAATAAAACAAGATGAATTTATATATTCTTTAATGGTGTTACCTGAAATTTCAAGAGAAACCTCTGTTAAGGATTCTGGTCTTTTTAAAGCATTATTCCCAATTGTGGATTGCAATTCTTTTTTCTTCATGAAAGAAGCATGAGCAGGTGGTGATTTTAAACCATTCAGTGGTGACATGGATCCTGTTGAAGACATGTTGACCTCATAAAACATGTACAGTTCTTGCCTAGTGGATTCGCCAATTAAGACATCACTGGTGATGGCACCAAGTTCAATTTTTTCTTTAGCACGATCTTTTGCTATTGTGAATTCATTGTTTACAGGATCAAAAGAAGCAGTATGCTCGGATTTATTTATAATTATAGGCAACTCAGAATCAGAGAGAGCTTTATCTCTTGTTTCGTCCACTTGTATTTCAGTCATTTCAGCAGCAAAAGATAGAGGCTCAAAAGAACTTGACTGGAATTCCATGGACAAATGAGATTCATCTACAACCTTGGAACTGTCCGAAGATGAAGCAATGTTGACGCTAGAGGATAGGACATCAGAAGGTGACTCCAATTTCTCAGTCACAGTAGCCTCAGAAGGTGACTCAAATTTCTCAGTCACAACAGCCTCTTCTTGCACCATAGGGGATGTCCAATATGTTAGTTGGGCCTCTTTGCCGTCGAAATCATGGTTTTCTTTGTCAGATTTATGCTCCAATATCCCAATTTCCTTTAGCAAGTTCTCCCCTTGAAATTCCTGGAAGCAAAGAATCTGACTTTCGATGGCCTGGTTCCCAATATTACTTCCTTGCTGTGATAACGCAAATGTTGGGTGTCCCAGTATCTAAAACAGTGTCAACGTTAGAATGGAAGTAATTATATAGAATGATTCGACCACCTATATGTTACTTGAATAAAATTCAATCATGGAACACTATCAACGCAGCCCCATCTACATCACTAAATACACCTAAGCGGGGAATTAATCAATCTCAAGTTATGAACCTGCCATAGTTAACTTTTTTATAGCGCTAAGAGTAAACAAACCAATCCATCTCTCTAGGAAGGCAAGAATGTGTTAAAGAACATATAAATGACCAATAGTCACTAGGATGAGTCGCACGATACGTAACAATTTCGACTCTCTAAACACGTCTCTAAATGTGTATAAGCGTGCCCAACAGATAGTCTCGAAACTCAGGTGAAGTATTGTTCTATACATGACAGGGAGACTAGTCTCTGCATGGCGCAAAAGGAACACTTAAATAATAGAAAGCTAAAGCAGAATGCCATAGGATGAATGAATATCATCAGCACTTAGGACCAATTTCTAGTAGCGTGAAGAAATCCGGTACTCAAATGCAATGCAACAAAAGATTAGCAGATAACAAATCCAGAAGGTAAAAATATCAGGTCGCTTACCTCTTTGGGTTTCTTCTTTCTCTTAATGTGATTATAGTAAAACAGATAAACGGCAGATAAAGTAACTAAGGTGACGCCGACGACAACGGAGTAAGAACTTAAAGATGCTTTGAAGAGAAAACGAGGAGAATGGGGTTGAAGAAGCCGTAACTTCTTGCATTTATTATGTCTAGAGCGAACACATCCGGGAGGCCTGAGACTATGTGAACGGCCAAGGAATTGTGCACGGATGGATCGGAGATCGGAAAGAGAGAAAGCAGATGGAGAACGTGAGGTTAAGCTAAGAGTACGGTGATTGGAAGTGAGGCTAACTTCCATGGATGAAGAAGAAAGAGAGCGTATGTGAAGGTTGAGAGAGGATTAGCAATTTTAGCAGGAAGGAAAGGAGGGACTGAGCTCTGAGAAACCAGAGAGGAATAAGGGTCGTTGGTGTTGGTGATGATGCTAATCCAAAACGTTGCTGACGTGGCGCTATTTTTGTTTTTCCGTTGGAACGATAGGCCGGATTCATTTCAGACCATATAAAAACTTGTGGCACCATATCAGTGACTGAAGGCTAGAGAACAAAACGGCGTCTCGCGGCCGTTGAATACCAATTTAGAACTATAATACTCGTTGAGTCCAACACTAATCAAGTTTTTTGGCAATGGAGTTGACTAATCAAGTTTGTCATTCGAGGAACTTACTGGTTGATGTAATTCTATTTTTTCTAAATAGTACCTCCAATTTTATTATAAGATGTAGGTAACTAATTTAGTAGATTAAAAAAATAAATTAAATTATTTGCTTTTAAAAATTATGTGTTTTTTTCTAAAATATTTCTTTTCAATTATTGCATTCCCTAATACAAATTTCATTAACATATCCAATAAATATGAATAGTTTAAAAAAATAATGAGTATAAGAGACAAAATAAATTAAGATTTTATATTTAAAACTAAATTTAATCCTCACTAGTTTTTAACTAGTATTTTACTTTTAGGCAAATATTTTACTCAAATTTAGTTGCTTTATGTTGCATTTTAGGATTTGTTGCGATTTTATCAATTACATCAACTTCATGCTATCAATTTCTATTGATTGTTTGTTGATAAAATTTGACATGAGAGCGAAATTTAAATTATATTTTCTAAATATTAGCATTAAAAATTAAACTAAAAAACAAATTTTATCCCAAAAAAATAATTTATAATTGAACTTTATTCCAATTTTTAGAAGTCAACGGGCAAGAGAATCTTATAATTGTCCGAGGTATTTAGCACTAATCCCCATATTTTAAGCTCATGTGAAAGATTTTTACAACTCAACCTTATCAATTGGCCATTTTATCCCCCACCAGAATATATCTTTTTCACAGGTCCACTAACACGGAAATAATTTTTTGAAAAAATGTTTTGAGAGGAACTAGTAGCCATTTTGCCATTTAATAATCAACATGCACCAAAACTTGAAATATGATGAAATATTATTCACTGAAATCATTTTTTTTATTTTTTGCCAACCACTAATATCATTTTATATTAACGACAATTATTATTGCAATTGGATAAGTGCAATAGTAACACCACTCTGACATCATCTAAATTCTAGACGCTTTGCAAGTGGAAGTCTCCAAAGTCAATATGAACTGTATGCCCCTTTTGGATAAACCCCGAGTCGAGATTTTTCAGGGGAGATCCAACTGGCACTGATCATATGCCCTGCGGAGCCAAGGACGAGATTTTTCTGGCCCATCAAGCTAAGCCATCTTTTGGGCCAAACCTAAGGCCCAATATTCGAAAAAGAACAATTTTTCTGTCCCATTGAGCCAAGCCGTCAAAGGGGACTGTTGGCGACCAAGACATCTATGTGCTCATTTGGCATCGCTTTTAAAATTACTTATTAAAAAAAATTTTATATAAATTGAGATAAAAATTTTTTCACATACTCACTTCATATTTTATAAATTATAATTAAAAAATTACCTATGAATCATTTCAAATTAGCCCTATATCTTATTCAGGAGGCTAAAAACACTCTACGGAGCATTGTTTTCGAATATGAGGTTTGGGGATTCTAGATTTCTGAGTTCAATGCCGAAATTTCCTTTGATAAGTGAATCCCAGTTCAGAGAGCCTTATCTTATGTTTGGTATAAGAGAATTGGAATAAAAAGAATGTGAAGAAAGTTTTAATTAGCTTAATTTAAAAGATTGAGAGAGTGAGGTTATACATTTTTTTCTTTTTTTTTTTTGCATGAAAACTGAAGTCAATTCATTAATGCAACAAGTACAAACACAAGTACAATATCAAGTCAAGCTGCCCCTCTCATCAACTGCCACTTCATGGATGTAAGGCGGGGAGATTAAAAATTTTGATAAAAATAAGATGTAAGATAAAAGAGTAAAAAAAATTAATTTAAAAATTTAATCCCGCTTATTCATTTTTTTAGATCAAACTGATTAAATATTTTCCTCTCTTCCAATTTTACATATACAGCAATTAGGATTGTCCTCAACATAGCATAGATTGGTCCTTTTCTTGTTTGCTTTGTTATTTATTTAGCACTCACTCTTTTATTAATTGTTTTTCACAGATGGATTGATTGCGGTTTGCTAATTGGCGTTTTCTTCTGTTTGACTCCTGAAATATATCGAGGTATTTATTAGGAAGAATTATTATGGGATCTCAAAGAAGGAATTTAGTTACCAAGAAATTCTAATAACAAATGACCAGCGTGAACCTATTATTGCTCACATTCAAAAACTTGTCATTGTATACTATTCAATCGTCAATAAATTTTTAAGGTAATTAATTTTTTTTTCCTGGACTTCATGATAATTCTTCCTATTTATTATTGTGATTGTTCTTTTCTTGACATTTACTCTTCCATACAATAGAGTCAATATCTTAGGACTTGTTTGGTATGATGGGAGAAGAGGGACAGGAAGGGGATAGAAAGGATTTTGTTCCCCCCTTTTGTTTGGGTTGCTAAAATTTTTAGGAGAAAGAAATTTTTTTAAGATTTTGCCTCCTCTCCCCTTATAACTCCCCTCCCAAATTAGGGGTATTTGGAGGGAAAGAGCAGTATTTTAACTTGTTGTGACTAAGGTGCCTATAATTAGTTTTTGATATTTTCATATTAACCTTTTGATATTGCATCATGTGGAAAATGGATGGCAACTGCTATACTTTTATCATATCATACAAAATCCTTTCCCTTCTCTCTTCTCTCATTAATCCAAACAAGATAATATTAAAATCCCTCTCCTCTCTTCTCTTTCATTCTCTTTCATTAAAATCCATCTCTTCCCCTCCTCTCTTTTAAACCAAACACAAATGTTTTAGCCACATTTTTCAACATGTATGATCAATCCCTAGGAGATTGATATTTATATCTTAAAATAAGTAAAAAAAATTTTAATATGTTGTGGCAAAAAAAATAATTAATATATCCCTTCCCATGTGCCTTATCCCCTTTTTCTACCTGGCCGGGCTTACCATCCAATTATTTTTCAAAAGAAAAACACTCAAACGTGCTAAAAGAGTACAAATTTGACTTTCTGACCATTCATTGAGCCACAGACATCCATGAATTAGGGCCAAAACTAACCGACCAACTAATATATGAATGACACATCTGTTAAGACCCACAAGTTCAAATAATCCAAATCTTTATCAAATTTGGGTGGATCATCAGATATAAAACTTAAAGTTCAGTTTATAGAGTTGCATAATTCACCAACCATAAAAATATTATGGCTTCTTTTAATGTTCTATGCAAGCAAGATTCGCAATGCCTCTTACAATTCAATTATATTGCCTTATTATAATGTTTTTGTACTTTTGCTTCCCTTTTGCTTTTCGTAGCGTAGGCTTACTCTTACATTTGAGTCTTAATATTTTAAAGAGAATGAATGGTTCGCTAGCTAGCTTTAAATATTAGGATGTGATTGGATGGCCAAACATAAGAGTTAAATATGCTAGGTCGGTCGGCCAGATAACATTATGGAAGACAATAACAAAATTTTTTAATATGACTTCTTTAAGTTGCATTTCAACCAGTCTTGGTGCATTATTTAAAACAGTAATCACGTCACTTTGACACTTCAATATCAACTATAAAATACTCCTCCAATCGTTAATATAGGACCTGATTATTAAGTTAATTTTGGTTCTAAATATAAGATCTATTTTTCATATTTATCAGTTTTTTCTAAATTATTTTATCAATACTCCCTCAACCGTAATCAAATAAGTGATGGGAGAAACGATATCAAGAAAGATAATTACAATGTTTTAGAAAAAACATGTCATATTCTTTATAATCAACTAACTTACCTAATTTTTTAATTAATTAAATTAGTTAAATAGGTCTTATATTAAAATCGACGAGTACATGATAAGCTATTGTAGCTGTGGCATATAATATAAATCAAGTCTCACATTTTGTCAGTATGACGCAGGGCCAACCTTGTTACATTTTACAGTACTCTCTCCTTTTTTTTTTTCAAAAGAAATAATACCTCTTATGGTAATGTTTCTAAACATAAGAAACAAACCATTTTTATCTGAAACTTTAAACTAATTTTTCTGCTTTTATCCTCATTAGATAACAACACTTATTATATCTCAGAAATAAATGTACAATCATAATTTCTCATATATCTTCTTTACTGATAAGAGTATAATTAGAAAAATACATGTATATCTTACATATTTATTGTTTTGAACTAAATTTAACTAATATTTTTAACCATATGATTTTAATAGTTGCTTCTTGTATAAGGGACGGAGTGAGTACCAATAACTAAGCTTAATACGCTATCTAAAAGTAGAATGGTGGTGGAAAAAAAGAATAGATAATACTTTTTCTATCATTAATTTAAGAACTATTTATCTAATTTGTATGCAATATTAAATAATATACTGGTTTATAATTTGATAAATTAATTTTAAAAATAAATAAAATGAATTAAAATTTTATATTTAAAATAAAAAGTAATTTCCTTATTAATTCTCTTTATAGTTCTTATAATTAAATAGGGAGTAAAATATAATCTCAAACTCCGTAGATGGCCCAAAAAATTTATTAAACTCATACCGATATTCTGAATTACTACTGTAATGATTGATTTTCGATAAACCCGGGGGGGGGGATATCTAGAATCTAGTAACGACAACTCAACTAATGTAATAGCAAATCATAATAAGAAGTGAACAATTATTATTTATTATTTTAAATTTTATTATTATAGATTGTTCTGTTGTTACTGCGACTTTAATAATTATATGATTTATTTGGGACTTCACAACAATTGTTCCTCTTTTTTGTGTTTTTGAATTTTTTACGTATTGGATTGGGTCGGACTGTC